ATATATATATACCCATATATCGGTTTGAGCGACCGACCCACTTTCAGTTGGATACCAGTAGTCGTTGGTCCACGTGCACTTTTGGTGAATAATATATGCGATGTTCGTTTTGGCGGCTTTCCATATCGGTTTGAGCGTGCGACCCACTTTCAGTTGGATACCAGTAGTCGTTGGTCCACGTGCACTTTTGGTGAATAATATATGCGATGTTCGTTTTGGGTTTCGGCTTTCCATCAGGCATGCCCTCGTGGCCAGTATACAGCTTCGTGCGGCCCACAATGCACTGGTCCGATGTTATTGCATCTGGATTCGAGGGTCAACTTGACTCATTTCTATGGGTAATCCGTAACAGCTTAGTTTGTTTCAGGTTTAACCCCCGTTAGGATGGTCGCTATCCCTCTGAGTAATATAGCTATTTATTTCAGTCACCCACTTGCTCTTGTGTTGTCCACTACAGCCGGGATGTGTTACTGCGGGTATACTTAGGCTTATTTTGTGAGATGCGCTTTTAGCGTTTGCACAACCAACTGTAGCCTGCAAACGACAGTGGGTAAAGTAGAGAGTTTCTGATCGATAGTTTTCGGTCGCATCCTTTCACTCTATCACTGGACCTCGCAGAGGGCTTATCGTTCTCGCCTACCCTAGCTTATCCATCGAAGCAATGCACTGAATGTCGTCACCGTTATACGCAAGTAGCTACGCGAAATCACAACCAGGAGCAAAAATTTATGAGGTGACTCAATACGGAGTACGATTATACCTTTTCTTGGGTACTGTCTCTCACAACAAACCACTTTTAAATCGCTAGCACACCTCAGTACATTATTTGTCGACTCAAACTGATGTAATGGCGAAATTGTTTTATCGTCGCATTGCGTTGTGTACTCGGTTGATTGATTTCTTCGCTATATTTTTGCTGCGGCTAACGCATGTGAACGGATAATATTGTTCAGCAGTAGCACTCTTTCTGTGCCTAACTGCCATGCCACCCGAAGGTCGCACGAGGAATGGGATACTGCCAAATTGCCCAAACCTAGACAGAGGAAGTCGAGAGGCAGGGATTGTGTTCGAACCACGGACCTTCCGGTCAGTAAATTCGTGCTCCGATCACTTGGGCCATCTCGGATGAAGCGGGTTGAAACATACCGCGAAGGTATAGCTCTGCAGGCGTAGTGATCGGCAGCAGTTTACGAATATTTCTGTTCAGTGACAAACAGTATTGTGTCTCAAGTTCCAAACAACCCACAAATGACTTGTTTGTAAAATGTAGGATAGCAAACAAATGTGTTGAAAACCCTTATGCTCCTGAACAGATCCCGTATCTTCTCCGATTCAGATGCACGTCTTTTGGAACCACAGGTAACAGGCACCATTTATCTTATTGTCAGTCCAAAGTACTTGTTAGACGTTTTTCGACTACAAAACCATACTCTTGCGGAGTGGTAAGGAAAGGTTGCAGTCATGCATTGTGAAACAGGTCGACGGAGGCTTTCACTCAAACGGTCACCCTGAAATTTTGCGATCGTTATACGATTTGGTATGGTGATAATTCTGTATAGTAACATTGCTGTGAACCAGTAGACAGCTGTTCTCCTGTTTAACAATGTGCGACACTGTTGTTAGTTTCTCTTAACTAGGGAGTGCAATCATGGCTATTGTCTGTTAGTGTCAGTGCCAGCGATGCGAATAGATTGAAGTTATTTTGAGATTTTTGCTGTTCGGCTGTTACCTTCCAGGAAGCCCACTGTCAACTGGTTTCTTGAAGCAGATTCTAACGGGAAGGTCTCTCCGATAAAAGATCAGATTTGATCACTCCTAACTAGAAATTGACAGCAACCCATCATGTCAACGCATTCGGCTTTTGGTGGTAAAATAACGTACCTTTGACAGGCTATGCAGCTAACTTCCCTTTTCCACTTCATTTTCCACTAACAGGTCATCAGTCTAATTCTGATAACTGTGGGCGCTCTGATAAAATGGAACCAGGATTTGCTCGCCAGTCGTATTGTTCCTGCATTGTTGGGTCCAGATGCGAAAGATAACGTACGCGATGCAATGCATCAGTTGGTCTTGGAAATATTCAAACTATTGGGTAAGTACCTGTCTTCATTAGTTCTAAGTCGAGTCGTTCCTACGTTCCACAGAACCACGGTACTGGCGTGCACATGTAATGTCCAGCAATCTTGCGCGCCATGCGATGTAGTGCTGAAGCTGACGTGAGGGCGGGAACATCTTCCAACTAAAATCGAGAATAAATCATTTATCAGTTGACTGACCGTGCCCATTAACAGTGTTGATCGTTTGCTCGTATTCGGGCCAAACATGAATGCCCCTTGACTCCTACGTGGTCCAACAAAGCCGACTCCAGTTGTCTGCCTCGTGTGACGATGAGTTGATAGCGGCCAGTGAATAGGGAAAACAAACCAAAATCACTTCATTTCTGGTTACTTCGTCATGTGGAGTTCTGAAAGGAGTTTCAAATGACCGGCAGTCTTGGTTGAGCAACCCAACCGAACCGTAACCTTCAGCAGTCACCTAAGAAAACAGGAACGCAATGTCGCCCCGACCTTTGACAAAATTGGCGACACAATACTGATGGTTAATTCGACTTTGACAACGTTTCTGTTTCAAGACTTCACTGGTTGTTCGTAGGCAGGTAGGGAGTGCGAATCCTGATGCCTCATTTTTCTTGCTGCCGGCCTTAGTTTTAACGTGACTGTTCCGAAGGTCGTCTGGGCCTTCAGCCAGCTATCGCGGTGATAACCTGAGTGTACTAGCATTTGCTCCCTGGGTCCTCCTCAGAACCCATGCAATACTTCACAAAATTGTTGGAACATAAATTTTATCAGCAAGATTTAACAAACAATAGTCGTTGTTTGGATTGCTTCGATAATTACGCTACTTCCCCCCCTGTGGATCGAATATTTTTAGCAGCTCCGCAACCCCGCTCAGTAATCAGTTTCCTTCACCACACCTCATAGGTCGTTGTGCAACACAAACGCGAGGACTAAACGAAATCATTGACAAGTTGAAGAACTGCATGCCCCTGGGTGAAGACTGGGACCCTTGAAGTGACTGCATCAAATTCAAAACTTCACGGGTCTCCCACTTTGATCTGACCGTAGTCCCTCTAATCTTCCATTTTTTTTACAAAAAATTCGACGTATATTATCATTTGGTGCAAAAGCTTAAGTCTTCATCATTGTTTCCGTACATCGTCCCACTAGTGAGGTGTTCATCAGTCTCCACGCTGTGCTATATCTTGGGGCTTCTGAGGTTCGACAACACTATCTATTGTTTCTAATCGTGTTCAATTTCGCGACCGATCGGACCATGCACCAAGCTGTCCATTCGCACCGCAGAGTGGGTCTTGAAAAAGATAGACCGACTCAAAGGTTGTGAATGGTATCGTTATTCTAGTCCAGAGCAGGTACTCAATCGAATCCACTTGATTCCAGGGCAGTCAGGGATTAGGAATCAATGTAGCGAAAGCCAAAGTCTTCTTCCTACCTGAATCCATCGGTTGACGATCACCAACGATGAACGCAAAGGACCGAAATGCTTTCGCGAGTTTAACTTCCTCGGATCAACCATCCTTCCGGACAGCCAGGCCACGAAGAAGTCACGATCCGCTGGTTTAACCCCTAGGGAATCTTTCCGCAATTGTTGTGGTGCAGGATTAAGGTGGTTCAGAAAACAAAGTTCCGGATTATGCAGTCTATCACCTCGCTTCACGTCTGCGAGACTTAGTGAATTGATATTTCCGAGATGTCTAACCATTTCCAGGTGCATCCTCAAGATATCCCTCCAATATTTTACAACGATAGAAAAAGCCCACCATCAAGAAATTATTGAACATCAATGGTGCGGAGCAACACTTGCTAGAATTGGAGTGTCATTTGTTCCAGTGTACTGAAGCTTTGTTATTGAGTAGGGCTTTGTGTGCTTGACTCGCATAGCTCCCACTAATTCAGCTCCTCGATTATTTTTCCTCACACAGCCATCAAATTACCATCGACCTTGATATTTTCAGAACTTTCATAATTTGTTTATTCTGCTGCTTGCATGTCGATAGTTTGACGTATCAGTTGTTTTTCGTATCATGTCAACTAGTACCGTAAACCGACCCGTTGAATCGAATGGGCATCTTGATTGAATTGTTGGGCTTCGCAATACCACTTAACGAATACACAGCGGTATGTCTTGCATTCCTCGCATGAAAAGGTATACTTTGTACGGCATCAACAAATTCCATTCGGCTATGAAATCAAGTGAACCTAGGTATGTCCACGCAACGGTCTCGTGTCGACTTCAGCCAACTTGTCCAAATTTCGGCAGTCGTGGATGGCATGCTCATTTTCTTGGCAATAGGCTTAACCTTGATTCGTTCCCTGAAGTGGGATGTTGCAAAAAACGTACTCGGTATAACTAAAGAAAAGTATTTCAAGATATTTTCCAACCTAATTGTTTCGTAAACACAGTGCAAGGAAACTGGTGTATCAGATTACTCTGGGTAGTTCAGGTGCGAATTTTCTTGTCTCTACTTGATAAGAAACGTACTCACTAGCAGTGGCTTAAAAAAATCCTCATTCACGGGAGGGAACCGTTTGGGCTATCACTAAGTTAGCCTTTGGCACGGCTGGGATATTCTTGAAGTACTTGTTGGTGTGTCTAATACGTATTGCTGTCGTCCGCACTGCTGTCTAATGTAAACAATGTGCTTAATCATTTTTTGTAGGTCCCTTTGGTTTGGCGATCTTCATATTCGGAATCTTTCTATTTGTGTTGACGTTCTGTGGGATTTTCGGCGTTTGTTGCAAGAGCAAGGTGCTTCTTGGCACAGTAAGTTCTGGTTTCCAGTTATCCTTCCTGTTATTTTTTCGAGATCTCAACACCTGCTTGGGAATGGAAAGTTTAGAGTATATTGCTTGAAGAGATGAATTGCATGCAATTTCCTCTGATTCTGACGTTCCCTTTTGGGGGCTTGGAGCATTTGAGCCAGTTGAGACACATCGTAGTAGTCTTTGTGTTGCGCGAAAAGATCAACAACAACGATATGTTCCATAAACATACATGACTAGTTTCCCAGTGTTTACCATTTATCAGGATTGCGCACACCGCGGTTAGGGCAGCACTGTTTATATTACATTACTCTAGTAGTTGAGGATACCAGTGTACTGAGCTCGAAGTAATGGTAGGCTCTTGTCTTCAGCACTATAATAATCTTCTGTCAACCGAAACGAAATGCAAATACTTTGTTCATAAACGATATCGACTTAGAGGATGGACGGAATTTCGGAGCATTCACCTAGGTAAACTCTGGATCGATGAATCGGATTTGACACAGCGAAAAATTAACTCTGGTGTAGCCGGACCTACTGTAAAGAGTTCACCGAAAATTCTCTTCTAGTACGTACAAGGCAATATATTCGTGTTTGCCCCTATATCAGCCGAAGGAAGCACGAGGGCCGGGATACTGCCAGGTTGGCCAAGCCTAGACGGGGGAAGTCGAGAGGCAGAGGTCGGGTTCGAACCACGGACTTTCCGGTCAGTAAATTCGCACTCTAACCGTTTGAGCCAACAATGCTAACAATGCTTCATCTTGATTCAGACAGGAAACTTCCTTCATAAACCATTGCTCTGCGCTTGCTCGGTTGCCCAACTCGAAGCCCATCGGATTCCCGTTGATCCACGTCTGTCGGGCAGCGTGGAGTTGTCTGTTTGAGAACATTAATCGAATGAACTGACTTGAATGAGATAAGCACGAATAGTGTACATGAAATAACTCTTCCCTTCCCGTCCTTTGCTGATAGCCTGAAATCCTATCGCCTATGTTCGTTTGTTTTTGAGAATGTTTTCAGCTCGTTTGCAATTGATTTCAACTCACCGTTCATCCGGACAAGTCCAATTCTCGCCTATTGTGTTGACTCACATTAGCCTTTCCAAGTAGAAAAAAGTTTCAGAACATGAACAACAAGCACACGTCCGACATAAACACATGCAAGCTATTCGTCTACGAAGAGTTCACGCAGTCAGTTTTGCCCATTGACAACTACATTTTCTGTCCAAATTCCGGTCCAGTCTACTCCTAATTTTCAGCGAGAATCAATATGTGGGTCGAGCTGCCTTAGCGGCTGTGACGCGAATCGAGTACGCCAAACTATATGGCAGAACTTCGTGCACTAGCAGGTGGAAACGGGCAAATCTCACTCTTATCAGTCGGATTCAAATTAGAAAAATGAACGTAACCTTCTGCCCCTTATCGTCGACAAGAGCATCAGTATTGAACACATGCTTTAGTTTCAGTAAACCTGCACGGTTTATTGGAAACCGTTGATTAGTTGAGCAGAGACGATAGTGGTATTTTTGAATCTCGTGCAACAACTAGGAACCGAAAACGTTGTAGTAGAAATCTTACTGGACTATTCTGTTCCGATATGCACATCAGACTACCTTTCGGTCTATAGACTGAAGCAGATAGACATAAGCTGATGCCTCACAGCAAAAAACATAAAGCACCACAAGCATTTGTATGTGCGATCGAGCTACTGGCTTGTTTCCGAACCATCCAAAGGCAGATCGCTTCTATGCACTGTTCACTTTTGTTGCGCGTCACAACGCTCTTCGGTCCAGTTGGACCGATGACCCACCGTAGCAACGCCTTTTCTTGGTAGCCTTACTAAATTCCCCCAGTATCGGGCTCGTGAACTGACTACGTAAGTTCCATTATTTCTGAGGTTGAAAAATACAACAGTTTTACTGCTGGCCACAAAGATTATTTCCTATACTTCGCTTTCGGGTTAAGATAGTTGGCCTATTCATTAGAGCTTGTGATGTGCTTTCTCCTGGTATGTTTACGTAATAGAAAATTAGGACAGTCTCCTGTCGGAGAGGTTGCTTTCATCCACGTTGCAAAGTATTTATACATCATGTATCCCGCGTGCGAAGCCCTGACACGTAAACAAAAAGCAGAATTCCGGTTAGGAAACAGTTGTATGGATCACATTTTCATGACTCATCAACAGCATAAACCTTCCGACAATATTATGTGACCATCCTAGTGTCCATCCCCTCAACGAACTTATTGGGCCACTTTGATGTTTGCCCTCAGCTTCGATGCTGTTTGAGCACAGACAACAGGTTTCTATATAGGGCTTGGACCTGTTCAATTAGAGCTTCATGATAAGTCCATTTTGCAAGGTGTAATTGTCATTCACTTCCATATCTAGTTATGCCCTCCAACATTGACATTGGTATCTTTGCATCAGCTCAGCTCTTATGTCTCCTACCGACCGCATAGCTGGTCATTGATGGATAAACCCTACTTCGTCACATTACAGCAAAGGTGGGAATACCCCGAGATGTATCAGGTAGAGTTCGCAAATACGAACGAATTCATTGAGAGATATACACAGGATAAATGCTAAGCCATACTAATTAACTTAGCGAGCGGGGGATGCTTGTCAATCGGGCTGATTGGATCCACTCTACTTCTTTTTCCACGCGGTAGATCGATGTTTTGTAGTGTTTGAATAAGATTGGTTGTCCTTGCTCAAGACGGATACACTTTATTGTCTTTTCTACTGTCTTCTCTCTTTCCAAGTATGCTACTCTACTGCTCGTCCTTTTCCTGGCCTTGCTGATTATGACTATCGTGTTTGGCACGCGAGCATCCTGGGTAAGTGACTGTTATTGGCAATTTTTCTCCTACATGTTTCTCCTATTCAACGCAGTTCCCCTTTAGGACTTTCATATTGGACGGAAATCGGTGATTGTAGACGATGCCTAATTAAGAGACTTTGAGCTTCGAATTGAGGCTTTGGAGTGGAATCTTTAGGCACAGTGCTACTCCGTGATTGGTTGAGTTTGGTGTTTAACGCTGGAAGTACGAGTCGATTCTTTCGATAGGAGCCTTTTTGTTAGCATGGGGGATGTACTGAGTTTAGTTGTATCTTTTTCCTATTACTCTACCATTATTTCCCTTGGTCACCTTTGACTGAGATCGTAAAATCCCGTTTCTTCAAAATTTCATGATTAGTTAGAGACTGCTTTCTGGGTATCGACAGCGTAGCACTTAGCAGGTAGGGAAATTTTGGTTGAGAGAGTTAGTGTGGGTTCGTATCGCGGCGCTATTGTGCGTCAGAAGATGCACACGAAGTTGTTTACCCTTGTACAGTTCAGTGTATACTGCCCATCGGGTTTTACTATTCCAGCTACGGATGATCGCTTTTGAGGTTGTTGATGTGAAGCCTGTCTATTGGATGTAAAAGTACGATTACAAGGTCTTGATTGATTTAGAGACAAAGTAGTTATTTTGTAAGCTAAACATTTGTGGACTCCTTTCGTAAATCATTGAAACTGTGTATAGTAGTCCTCCTGTAAAAACACCGTCGACAGGTTCCCGGATGAAGGGCGTTTCTCGTGAGGCTGGATCAGCAAAGATCAGCAAGTCACAAGGTTCCATCAATGGCCTTTTACAACTTACTTGCTTCATACAGGTTATGTGCTGACAGGATATAATTGTACACCTCGTCCTATATGGTTGCTCCAGCTGTTCACTCCTGTTGCATATCGTTAATTGATGCGAACAAACGCAATATGGCTAACTGGTGTGCAATCCTTGTGGACTTTCGTCATCTTGGTCATTACGATCTAGTGGTTTGCGCTTCGCTTGTTTTGACTGAGAGTAAGCCGAACGGACAACTGATTACGAGGTCGTTTCGGTGTAGTCAACCATCGTTCCGTTCCTGTGCGTCATTTCATCCAACCCTTCAGCTTCATTGCCTTCAGTGAGTCTTGTAGCTAGATACGTTCCAGCCAGGCCTAGTCAAGTCCGGTTAATGTGGGTTCATTAATCTTGTGGGTTTACGTATTATCAGTGCTTATTTCGTAGACTATTTAAAGATTGATTAGGAAAGCGTACTTTTGTGATAACGACCAAAACTAAATTATCGTGCGCTATTCCCTATTTTCTTTCAGCTTTATTAGCTGGCCAGCAGAGAGTTTGGTTTAAAGAAGTTTCTCAGAATGATTATGCGATCAAATTAAAGGTACTTCGTTTTCCAATCTGCCGATGTGACCATACTTTGGTAGCGATATCCGAAGAAGACCGATAATGTGGGGTGTGCACTCTTTTCAAGCGCCAGTTTGTGGCCTATGAATTACAGAACGACAGGACTCAGAATATTTTGAGTTCAACTTTCCAATACAGAGGTCCCTTCGTGTAGGATCTATTCCGTTTATGCGGCGTATCCTGCGTATCCTGCTTCGTGTCCGTCGGAATCGGGCCGTAGAAGAGTTTATCGAGACAGCTAGATCAATTTCAATCTCGATTTATTGCTTCTTCTTGTACAATGTTGCAGTACACTTGATGACAGTTGATGCTAGGATTCATGGTTTTGGAGCTTTCTTAGCGCTACGTTTACGAAACCAGCATGTACCCCAGTTTCCAAGACAGTTAGGCATCTAATTTGTGGTGATGCACCTACTCGGACCTGAGGCTTTGAGCGCAAACGAACACATTAATCGCCGACTATACATAAAATGTTAATCAGGTGCCCTTGACTAGCACGAGAACATCCTTTGGGACCGCTAGTGATTTGCAACATCCAAACTCACATTCTCATCTGCACCACCCTTATTCCTAATCACGCCTAAGATTTACTTTTTGTTCACCAATGAGGTCGGATTATCAGGTTCGTCTGAATACCTGTGGATGGTGACACGTTGAGTTTTCCAGATGAACATGACAGTTGTTAGGGATGAAATGCAGTGCGTTTAAGTAATATTCGCCTCTTCGAAAACAAGCTGACGAAATGCAATGCACTGCTTGAGTGTCTACCACCTGTGATTTGAATGGATCACTGTGATATTGGTGGAGTATAGTAGTAATAGCACTACGTCACTTTCGATATCCGACTGGATGCATTCCCATCGCCCATATGGTGTATCTCTGATGAAAATCCTCCCTAATTTATACCACAAGTACCATGTAGTTCCTCAGAGGGAATCCCCAGGTGATTTGTTATTACCTGAATAAGTGATTCCTACACTATGCAACACGAGAACGTGAAGGCCAACTACATCCCCTTGGTTGTCCATGTTGAATAAAACACCGTCCTCAATCCGATCTCAGAACATTCTTGCCATAACGTTCTAATTTTGAATTGATTTAACATATGCATTCTTGGTACCCGTAGTTGCTTATTATTTGTTTTCCTGCTTTTTTAGTTCAGGGCCCAAGTCCAAGAATTATTCAAAACGTTCATCGTGGGGTCCTATAAGATGGACAACGATAATCAGAGTTTAGATCCACTAACCCAATTGATCGACATGATTCAACAGAACGTGAGTTGCAACTTTCCCTTTCAGCTGCCGATGTATTGAAACTACCTGAGCCCTACGCCTTACTTGAGAATTCCTCAATGTGGGCATGCCCTTTTCATGGATAACGCCAGTCCAGTTTGGTTGTAGTTCTTTGATCCCTTGACGAAACAGTTGGTCAGCATGACATTAGAGCGGAGCATTGGGTTCAAAATCTTCACCTGAATAAACAACAGCGCACAATACTTCTGAAAATAATTGGTGAATCTACTGTTCTTCCAGTTTTTCAGACTGAAGGAGATTGCTTAGTATCTGAGCTTTGACTCAGTCTGACAAACTATGCTTAAGTAGCTGGCTAGAACATCATAAGATAGCCATGTTATTTTTTAATCTCTGATTAATTGTGATTCTTGCTGCGCCTTTCGTTCCTGTGGAAGATGATCCTAAACCAATCGTAATTTCGCATCGCCGCGGCAGGGTTTGTTGCATTTTTACAGAGCCTTCTGGACAAATATCGGTTCCCTCGCCGGAGACTTCCCAAATTTTGTGGTTCGCGACCTATAGACTTTTACTCTGCTACGTTCGTGTATTTGGTGGACAAGCTAACTTCGACTTTGAGGTTCCTGGAGACATTTGACGGGACTCCTTCCACAAAATTTGCCGCAACAGGTCGAATGTTCATATGTGAACTAGAGAGTGAAAGAGCTATCAAACAAAACATGCCAGCTTATTCGCGTTTAGAGTTGGCACTAATCGGGACTGCTGCCACAAAAATGAATGAGTTTGAGCGTCGCTTGGACTCCGTTTTCCGGATCACTTTTGATGATCCTGGCTGTATTCTAGGGGACAGCTTTTGACTTCTGTTACACTATTTCTTCAATAGCATTGCTCCCCATCATTTCTCTACCCAATGGTCTTTTTTATAGGAGCATTTACTGTTCACCTTTCACTTTTGTTCTATCTATCGTTTTCCGGTAGATTAAGCCTTCCGCTGGCTCTCTGGGTTTCAGCCACGAACAGAAAACCTACGGATATCCGTTGTGCGGTAGGGAGGGTTGTCTTACATGACGCTGCAACTTCGTTCAACAATAGTGAAGAGGACCGTTGGTTTTCCTGTCGTGGAATGGCTGGAACAGACGGGTGCAAAAAACTTCCTGTCGTGGAATGGCTGGAACAGACGGAACAGAACTGACACTTGCCTTCCTCGTCCTGTATACCAAATTGTAATCGTAATTGCGGTCATGTCTGCTAACATATTCAGACTATTCAACTACCGGTGAATACTTATATATGGCTTCTGGATAGTTATTGGTCTTCTGGAAGGGGTTTATAATAACAAAGTCAGGGGTTTAGAGTTTTCCCATACGTATTTAGTAAGGATGTGGTAAAATCTGGGAAACGTCTGTCCGAATCAACCGTTGAACGTCTACTGTGGTCTGCTACCATGTTGCAAAGAATCCTCATCCCACTGAATGGTTGATTTTAATAGGCTGACTACAGTAAGTTTGCCATCAATTTGATCACTCGTTCATCAATCTATGGTGTTCTCCCTTAGCCGTTCCGCGATACAGGCTATTATGTGTTGTATTGTGTATAACTTAAACCTACGGTTGATGTTTTGCATACTCCTGTATTATCATTTACACTTCAGCAACATTGTTGTGGGTCCTACAGCTATCAGGACTATAAAGAGAACGAGTCATTCAAAGCCCAATCCTGTGAGTTTCTTTCTTTGGATTTCTAGCGTTGTGACGATTGGTGAACCTGTCTGTTTCATTCAAGCCAGTCATAAGGTTAGGGATTCTTTTTTCCAGAATGAAAAGAGCACATTTAGATTAATTAATAGAGTCACGTTAACTTCTTCCTATGGACTTTTCTAGGTATTTTTGTTCCAACCGCTTGGATGAACAATTAGTAGGTAAATTGGTTCCATTCATTTTTAACACAAATCCCGCGTCGGATTTACACACAGTCCGCCGTGAACTGAGCAAATGCAAACGAATGAAGCACACGCACCAGCGATTTCGATGCTCATCGGTGTTATTGTGGCATCATGTTAAGTGCGCTGCAATCTAGTGCTCTGTAAAGTGTCAGACATTCTAGAGAGAGCAGGTTGACTAAACCAAGGTTTTAGAAACACCATTTTCGGGAGAATAAGTCTGGAATTTTCGGGCAGCTCTAAAATCAGAAATCCCAGGGGTCTTGCTAATCAGGAGTGAGGAATGTGAAGTTTTTTCCGGAATCACACTTCACGGGCAATCAATGCAATTGCTCATACTTGTTTGGTTTTGACAAACCATGTCACACATTTTTTACGAATGCAGTGCATGTCGAGTAATGGCCTCAGGACTATGCGAATGAATTGGAATACGGTCCCTGAATGGACACTGGTGAGCAAAGAGGAACGAATCTCCTCTAGAGAAATCACGAAGACGGTTGGCCTCGTGGGTTTCATGAGAGGATCATGGTCACTACAAAAAAGACAGACCTTGGAGATCACATGCTACTACGACAATTACACTTGTGAAGTGTATTGATAATGAACAGACTGGTGGTTGGTCGACTTGCTGTTGATCTGTTAGTGGAGCTTGGCCAACATATAAACTGCTATCCGATCAACAACCTTGGAAGCGCATCCCAGCTGCCCATATTCGAACGTATTTTTTTTACAGGTGAAAAGAAACTGACGAGTAACACGAGCGCCTTCACGATAAGCGAGTGTTTAGTGTGGTGGCCATCGCCGCGTCATTGTGTTTGGACTAAATTTTGCCTAGCATCGGGACTCTGCTTGTTTGCCCTAAATTTACGTTTGTATCAGTGGCACACACAAGCACCACATTTGGCTCCGCACCAACAGACTGTAGCCTACTAATGCACGCAGACGTTGAGCAGTTTAACTACTGCTAACGGATAAAGTATTGCCGTGGGATGTTAGTTATTATCAGGATAACTTCCTTCAGATGGCCATGGTTCCAATCGGCCAAGGGAAGTTGCACATAAAACCTTAATTCAAGTTGTGGAGCAGCACCTCATATGATGCTGACCAGCACTCGTGGCGCTTCTCGATTGTAACGACACCTTCGTCTCATCATGGATTAGTTACCTCCATATATACTGGGTCAAATAATTTGCTAGTATCTACTGCCAGCGACGAATCGGGATTATTCGGGGTTCAATATAATCATTGGTTTTATCGAGGTACTCGGAGAGGTTCCTTTCATACCAACTTGATAATGATTGCTCCTAACATGACGTATCCTCCGGGTTGGGCGGTCTTTCCGCGCAAAATCTTTTTAACGATATGACACCGAACAGGGTAGTACGTGAAATTTTTTCGTATGAACGTGCATTTTTATACAGGGTTTCTATTTCCACCCAAACATTCACTTCGAATAAAGCTGATGTGGCGTCCTATTCCTTTTTCGTGTCAAGATTTCCCGGTATTTTCATAGGGTTTCTAGTCAGGATTTCCCAAGTGTCGACAAATATTGAGATGACTTGATGTCAAGTTAGGATATCTCAAGGAATGTTCGATATCCGGAGCGTTGCGCACTTATCGATTCGTATGTAGATTTCTACCGAGACATTAGAATTCCCGCCGGGTTATCTTGGGAATGTTATCCATAGGTTTTACCAAAATACTGAGACGCTTCAACATGATGTAGGTGTGGCCTTAATCATCTTCGAACTTGTAGTCACTGAGGGTCAGAAGTTGCTAATTCGAGGATATCGTGAATGCCATCCACGGTGGTCTCTGGGTCGCATATTAACACAGACACGCGGCACAAGTCAGATCCATGGTGTGGGTGCATCACGCGAAACAACTTGAGACAGCAGATCATGACCCTACAATGAAGCCCTTGGAATTCTCACGGCGCGGGCTACATTGATATACCTCATATCCGGAATCGTCTGAAACAAGGATCAGACTGCCGTCCTCGTTGCTCGGCTTCTCAGACTAACCGGAAATCGCGTCGGTTGGACGGGTGTATAGCGAACTTGCTGCGGACCCAGAAGGCATGCACTGATTGGTCATAATATGGCTCAATCAGAATCGAACATTCCTGACCCGGAACTTCTCCCTCCACAACGAAAATCGAAGCTTGACTTTATCGGAAGTTCTGTGATAGCTCTGTAGCAATTTTCAGTTGTTTTATTTGCTACTATGCCTTTTGATACGCCGTAGAAGAGGGAGCAGATTCCAAAGACTAACATAAGATCTGAGAAACCACAACAACAATAGGCGATAACCAGATACATGACCTTGGTTCAGCTCTAACACCCTTTGTGAGCTTCACTGCCATGCCGCCCAAAGGAAATACGAGGGCTGGAATACCGCCAGGTTTCCCTACCCTAGTTTGGGGAACTCGAGAGGCAGAGGTTGGGTTTGAACCACGGACCTTCCGGTCAGTAAATTCGTGCTCTAACCCTTGAGCCATCCCGCCTCTTACCTTAAGAAAGACAATCGAAACCATGCAAGTCAATGTGTGACCAACAAGTGTCATGCAGTCAGTCAGCTTATCAACTAAAAACCATGTGCCAATGGTACGTTGGTTCCAGCTGCTACAGTTTCAGTTACCGGAAAACAGGAGAACAGGTAGGATATAGCGAGGCATTGGCCTGAGTCGTTAGTTGATGCTGAACCATTGTGATTGTCTGATGATGAGGGAAAATTGGAAGCTATGCACATACAGCACATGCAGTCTCTTTCACTCCCGTGTCAAAGTTTTCACTTGATGGGTATTATAAAATAGACGCCCTTTGTGAAATACTGGACTTTCCACCTCCCTGTCTGGATCCCACCTGATTCTCCCATTGGGTCTGAAAACCCTATTTGATCGCTCCCATCGATAAGCATGCAGTTATGTGTGTTGTGTGTGCTAGCATGATAGTGAGTGAGTCAATGAAGAATGCAAGAATGAAGTTCTATATCCTCTGGTTTTGACGCGCTATTTACGTAGACTCTTCCGTGCTGTCCACGACTTACACCTAATTTGCGTGTCTAGGTCTTTTGAGCTTGTGCGTTTTTTACCTTACAATGGGCGATTATCTACTTCCGTACTGTAGCAGACGATCGTGTTGTCCACTAACGCCCCTCAATTATTTGTGTTGACAGATAGCATTCCAGCTTCGTGCTGCGCAGATCCGACGGACAGAAGTTGCTGGTCCAAGCCCACACCCAAGAACAGCTATATGAATACTGTGAGTTTGAGCTGCTATGAATTTCTTCCACATTGTGAATTCATTCAACTGAGCAGAGTTCAGTTTATGAATTTTCATTTTTTGTTAAGATTTTGGCGCATATAACCGAGCAAATAACTTTTTCAAACCATCTCCCTTTATAGGTCGATGGTCTTTCATAGGTGTTGTAATTTTATGCTCACCGAGCGGAACATCAAATCAGAACGCATTTCTGTTCTATACAACACAAAAGCAAGGGAAACCAAGCGAATCTTCGCCATCTGTTGAGTGGCTATCGTTCGTAAGGGTGTTCACTTCTGAAAAAGAAAAAAAAATCAGTTCTCATTATGTATGATCTGGGTGGAATCTCATACTGATGGGTAACAATACCCCACGCTTCGCTTGTCTTCAGTGAGTCCTGAGCACTGAGTGCTTCACTTTACCGCTCTAGTGACTGGGTTTTCCCACACGACCCATAGTGTTGTATGTCAGAGAGGAGCCGTAGAGCACAAAACAGGATGATGAATATACTCCTAATGATTCGTTTCCAAATATGGTAGGCAAACGGTGCCTTTTAAGAGGTCTGGTATTTTTTTTCTAAACGACTGTGGGTCTCGAAGATTATGCCGCAAGGCATCAACCGAAATGTGAAATAACAAATCCCTGACTTGTTATCTTAGCGAAGAGTTCACAGATGCCAAAAAAGGAACATTTACCACCTGTTGGACAGCATTCAAATTGACATGGTATATCACCATGGGTTGAGGATATCTTGGTCCACCATAACAAGTGATAATTCTTCCAAGAAGGAAGTAGATTTAGTAGCCCGTTCCCAGCTGCCTGGGAAGGCCGATTCTATCGGTTGGACGAAACTGGGTAGCGGAGTTTTCGTTTAGTTTCGGTGAACTTGATTATCTACATTTGGATGCAGAGTGAACGTTTGCGAACGATTGCTTCTGACAAAGTATCGTCGGGTAAACACATGCCAGCACTACAAACTGCTATATTGGGTTTGTTCTATTCGCCGCCGCTATACATAGAAAAGGTACCGCAGCCGAACGATCTCGTTTTTCGGTTGTGCCAGTGGACCGTTTATTACATTGTTCAGACTGAGCTTCCAGATATATAAACAACGTGAAGGTGTGTTATTCTTCTTGTGGATTGATCATCACAAATCTCAATAATCGGAACAAACATAGATTAAAGGAATGCCTTAAAGTGCAGTTCATTTCACATGAAGGAGGGCTCCTACTGAACTGAAATGACCCTGGTGCTTGATTTCTAGTTCTTTGACGTAGGACTTTGCCTGAACTCTCTAGCTTTGCAATCTTAATTAGTGGTTTTCCTTGTGGCACGCCAATCTGTTTGCTGCTGTGATAATCACAACTGCTTTCCCTATAACCAGCGATTTTTCACGCATGCCTCCATTTTGACAGGGTTGTTTTGACACGTTATGGAACGTGATAGATGAAAACCTGAAGATTGTCCTATACATCCTGATTGGCATGCTCGTACTTTCGGTAAGTTGCCACCGATACAGTTGCACGATCAGTCTACCACCTTTCCATTTTCAAAACTTCGCTTGTTCTACACGAACTGGATAAAATTGCTGCTGTGGCGGTTTGTGATTGGCCTAGTTTTACGAACCCAGCCATATTCAATTTAACTACCCTTGAAAACCGCCTCATACGGTATCCCACCAACCTTTTTAAACTCATCTGAGTGTGCAGCGGTGGACAGCTAGTGCACATCTCGGAACTGCTCCGGATCTATGCTTTGAGATGTGTGAAGATTCTCAGCATAGTATTCGTATGTACTCAGTCTATCCTTGCTAGTGCGCCTTGAGGTGGCTCAGCGGTGTATTGATCGTGGTTCTGAGCACCCACCATCGTTAGCTGTCGACTCATTTTGATGTGCCCATTTTGGAAGCCGTTTGTACCGCAGCAAAGCACGTAAGCCGTTCAGCCCTGTAGATGTAAACAATCCCTTGCAAAGCTACCTCCGTCGGGCGTGTATTGGTTGAGTAAGCGAGTAAGCAGTGCTCAGTGTTGATGAGGTGCATGTCAACGATTCGGCATGCGGTTGATTTATGCGGGGTTCCGGTCCTTGTGCGTGCGCACATGTCATACGCGATATCTCTCTTTTAGTCATCCTATCTTTTTCAAGTGAAGACGCCCCAGTGTTTCTTGTAGGATATTCTGACAAAATGCTGATAGGACCAAACAGGAATCCACCAGTGTTTGGATCATCTCAGACCCGTTTTTGGGTTCGATTTGATCAAATTTTGCTTCAGCGTTTGACCCAAGGTCGAGACTGGCAATGTATCCTCACACAAGTGATCTTTGCGACTTCTGAGTAGACAAGCCTACATATAGATTGCTTGTTTTATTTGGCTCTTAGATTTGCTTTTCACATTCTTGTGCAACTGGCCCTGGACTATTCACGTACAAATTTCGGAATGATATTTGGAACTGATTTTGGCCCATCAAACGAAGCCGATTGACTCTCGTCCACAATGGGCAATGGCACACACACATACGGTTTGAGCTGGGCAGCATGTACATCCACCCGGGCCCCATGTACCCAATGTAAACCCGAAGGAAGATCAGAGGGTGTACAGGAAGCGGGCAGTTCTAAAGCCATCGACATGCGCAACTAGCGGTCCATAGTTTTCGCCTCAGTTGGGTGCAACGGGACATCTGAAACTCACAGTGCATGTAAAGGATCATCTTATGGCGCGCACCGCTCTCCTAGGTACAATTGGCTAGCTGTACAAAAGTGGTCACAGATTGTCACCTCTAGCGAGCTCGAGATAGCTCAGTGAAGGCGCGAGCTCAGTGATCGGAAGGTCTGTGATTCGGACCCAATATCAACACATCGACTGCTCCTGTCTAGGATTGGGCAACGTGACAGACCCAGCCATCATCCCCTATTCGGGTGGTATGACAGCTAGACACCGAAAGGGTGTTACAGCTGAACGGTTATTATCATTACGATCACCTCTAGCGTCGTTGCTGGATAAACACTTCGGAATGTGTCATTTGCAAATAGATGTACGAAATACACAGAAGTAGAGTGCAACAGAATACAGTAAAGCAACACACCAAGCAATACGGTACAATTATGATCGACAGACGCTTGTTCATGTCTAATTCGTATGCCCACAAAAAGCGCATGGTTATTTGACCGCTTAGAGCAAAGGCGGCTAGTGACTGACCTTGACATTTTGCCGGGTAATGCGTGGTCTTGGTTGCACTGTCTGGAACACATGCGCCGCGGCCTAATTGCACGCCATGTCAACGCTGACAATACGGCAAACGGAATCGACTCGCATCTCAGTCGAAAAGGAAAACTCAGTGTTAAAAAAGTGGTGGCGAACTTATTGACAATCTCACCAGTCATTAATTTCGCGGACGAACTGTGTAAAGGCTTGCGAGGCAGAAGATTTGTTTGAACATGCAGATGGTAAGTAGATGCTTTTTAAGGGGAAATGTTGCTAATGTGTAGTCATCTCTTCATTCAGAATGTTTACTTCCTGCATCTCAAGAATTCGAAAGTTGGGACGAGCGGAACAGAGCGCTACATGCGAACCGCAGTGTCGGACACTCATTCACTGTGCTGTACTTGTGCATATGGCACACAACTAGGTTTCCGCATCGTAGATTACTTTCTACAAATATACCTCATTGTTTGACACCCATTGGGTTAAATGTGACCTGAATGTTTCGGAATAGTAGTTGCCGAGCAGGCGGACGACCTTTCTTTAAAAATTGTAAGCAATCGTCACCTGGCTATTTTGCATCTATATTCCTATGCCTCGGTTGCTGTTCTATAAAATATATGGGACTTTGGTGAACACTCAATCAGCATCAGCTCCAAATGCAGTATTTCAAATTTTTTCTTCGGGGGAGAAAGCATGCCGCTCTGCTGGTTCATCTTTTAAATGAGAGTTTGTGAGCAGCCCTACTCAAACGAGGACGTCGGGTCGAAAAGTCAAGCTAGCCTTTCTGTACCATAGAAACATGTTTGATGGGGCAGAGTGCCTGTTGAGATTTGTTGGATTTCAATCGAAAAGCCCCAAAATCCCATAGAAGGCATCAAGTTCTGAACATCGTTTAAGTGTCTCAATAAAAGCCCAGTTGACTACAAAGTTCAGTATAGTGTTATGGTGTCCCGAGGGTGTTTTATATCTGACGCCAATCCATAAGATTTGTACACCCATCAGAACACTTAAGTCATCCTTAGTTTCTACCGACACACTGAAAAATCAACAGATATATGGAATATTGCCTTCGTTTTTTGTTCGTTTTTGGACGTTACGTACTTGTCTTCCTGCTACTTCCAGTTTCTCACCGCTCGTCGTTAATGTGTATTTTCCGTATATCCTTTCACAGTTCTTCTTTGCCGTTCTTGCGATTTACTTGTTGACGCGGTACGCTCGCGAGGAATTGTCGACGGTTTAGACGTGCTCGTCGTGAAACCTGCATCGATACAATCCAATCTGTGTGTTTGTTGGTTCTTGGGTTTATTTTTATTATTCCGTTACATTGGAGTATTCCTCCAAAATGACGTTCTTCCGGTGCCGAGTCTGAACTCTCTTCCTTGTGCAGAGCCTAACAGGATTCCTGCTTGGGCGTTTGATATCCCGCTCTTCAAATTTTGCCCTGTCATCTTCATCCTGTTTATGAGCTTGATGGTTTGTGTGATGCGTTTTGTATCGAGTTGCTTCACATATGGTACGCCCACTGTCCTATGCGGCTGCAATTTATAATCGCTTCCATCCGCACGCTACTTTACTCTGGTTCATTTCACCTATGTTGTACCCCCCATCCCCACTGATGACATCTTCGCTTTGCGTGTACAGAGTAAGGTGCCATCATCAATAGTATGTTACAACTCGGCAACCAGTTGGCCATAGTGGCGATTCTGCAACGAGGTTTTACTCACCATTAAGGTTGACGTGGGAATTCTACACCGTTCAGCTTTTTTGGACCGGGGTTTCTCTGTCATAGGAGGATTATGTCGACCGCACTATCAACCAAGTATTAGACTGTGATACCTAGTGCGTGAAAACTGGAATGTATTCGCAAGACAGCCGTACCAACTCCACACATGTTACATTTAGTGTTCACGCCTGAAAAATTTGGGACCATGCCTAAATAGCGAGTCCTGAAGAAGTGAAACTGACAATGTATTTTTGAGGAGTTCCTGTTAACATTGAAAATGACATAGGAGCAAGAGGAGGTATTTCACCATCTTGATTTTGCATCGACATAGCTTGTCTGAGCAATCCCGTCTTCCACGCAATCATTTTCACTAGTCTACACCGAAGGGGACACTGGGCTTAAATTTTGTCCCTACCGTGGTTTACGGTTAATAGTTCTGAAATGCGATTGAATGTGTTAACGTTACTCCAACAGAGCACCAATCTGAATCACCACGTCTGAACAAGTGAGCATGTTCTCGCAGTTTGTTTGACATCTCGATTTTCGGTCTAACCGAACCGTCAATGTTGTTTTTTTTCAAATTGATGAAAAGAGATTCAGTTCACTCCAGGGAAGATTCTAACAACTATTAGGAAGTGCGTGCGTCTTGATTTGGGAATTAGCTAGACTGTGCAATGGCGTTTTTATTCTACAGCTACTTAGACCAGACGTCGACGCGCATCAGATTGGACGGCTATAGAAAGCGCCTAAAACTACGAAAGGAGATAAGTGCTCGTTGATAGTGCATTTTTATCGCCTGACGGTTGGACTCGAAACAAGCGGGTGGGTGCAGTTGACTGAATGCCCCAATAATAACCCGTCTAGATCAGCTCGACAAAACATTTTCATTGTGAAGCCTGGACTGAGGTATATTCATCATGAACTAGGTGCTTAGTATTCTGGTGACTGTTCAGAGGTGTACCAAGGAAAAAAGGCGTAACTGTAGCTCAGGAAGATCTGCTTTCATCTATCCTACTTAACCATATCCGGGGACTTTCCGGAGGGCATATTCCTTTTCAGAGCCCTTCAGTTTAGGCTGACGAAAGTGGCTTCGAATCAAATCGGATTCATTTTCTCAAATTCAAGCGTGTTTCGACGAGCTTGCACAAAATTCAAATCAGCAGACTGAGTTCTGCTTGTCAGTGTTTACGAAAAAGGCATGGGTTCTAACGTCTGATTGTAGCGAGCGCTAAATCGGCTCCAAAACCTATCATTAGAACGTCTTGACCGATCGATGTGCTATCACTCGCTTGACTGTCTAAATATGCTAACCCCAATTGTTTATGCGCAGTTCTCAAAACGGTGGAACTCCATTAGCAATCAGGCCACTTACAGCTTAGTTGTGTTTTGCTGTGGTAGATACTGTCTGTATGGCGCTGTATCTCACCCGGAGGGTACTTTGTCCATGTACATAAGTCCTCAGCGAGGCACACAAAAATTACCGAGCTGGTGTCCTATCGGCGTGGACGAAGCCGATTGGGATGTCTTCTGGTAGACGTAGCCGGCCGTGTAGAGAATGCCCGATGTAACTGTCCAACCTTTTCAGCTTATTTCGGTAAATGTGTCTGAGTACGAGCGGATGTCAGCCTCGGCACCAGGTACTTCCATTCTTTGTTGTGGCATCAACGGGGCATCACATGCAGTGCTACCTGCTAATATCTCCCCCATTATGTGACTGCAGTAATAAATGACTGTCTCCGTTATCTCTTTACGGTATGCACATCACGGATAAAACTCTTCGTTTCTCACACGGAATGTTCGAGCTTTCATGGCAACCAGACAATTCTGTTTGCAAAAAGTGATAAAAATGCTGTAGTAGCTGCAGCTGACGAAAACTATGTAGTTTAAGCCGGATTACGGTTCCGTATGCTGATGGAACGGTTCATCGCGCTTGCCATTATTTTCTTGACTTCTGAGCTGACCAAAACATCCTTGTGGAATTCTCTTGGCCATTTATAGTCTTGATAAACGGATGAAGTCTGAGGCAAGGGTCGAAGAGGGACCAACTCCTTCCCACAGCTATTGTAGAACAGTCATTTCCATGGAAACGCGTGGTTGGATGGGGCGTGGATAGCAGGGACAAAGTAGGTAGAAGAACTCACTAAGGTACTACAGTTCATTAGTTGAAATAACTAGGAGTGAAAAACGACGGAGCACGGGGACGTCGTGTACAACATCGTCAGCGGAACATACTAGCACAGCGTCGCAAAATGAACATTAACCACATGACAAATTGTAGAAACTATCTGCCAGTCATGTCTAAGGTACTACAGTTCATTAGTTGAAATAACTAGGAGTGAAAAACGACGGAGCACGGGGACGTCGTGTACAACATCGTCAGCGGAACATACTAGCACAGCGTCGCAAAATGAACATTAACCACATGACAAATTGTAGAAACTATCTGTCCAGTCATGTTTTTTTTCATTTTGAGCTAGATCACGTCTGAATATGCGTCATTATGTGACAATCTTTAACCCTGTTTGCTGCTCAAAAACATCCCCCAACTGTTCACCATAATATGTACAAGCCCGCTCTGCGTAGGGGAGAGACCTCATAACCAACAGAGAATCGCTACCCTGTTTTAGGTGGTCTGTCTCGTGGCAAACTTGTCTGGGCCACATGAACATGCACGCATACCTAAACACGCCCAAAGCGTGGTGGGTTCCACATTTAGCGGCTGTGCTACTCCTTAGGTCAGAGTAAACTAATCCTGATTAGATTCAGACAGGTCAGAACACTTCCGTGCAACCGCACATGCTAATTTGTCAACACACCAGCTGTAGAGCTGGGTAGCTATTGGACAGCGAAAAAGTACTATACCATGGAGACGTTCTCCATTTTGCAGCGTTTTGTCGTAATTACAAAGTGACTGATGACAAATGTGCCTCACTTGCGGTGGTCGAAAGAGCGCTTTCAAGAACAACGTGGCTATAAAGCCGATCACAAACAGCGCGGGGCCGCCCGAAATCGTGCTGCTGTTGGGGTAATTCGTTTGAAGGCACATGCTTACAGGAGCGCTTCTGTAGCATTTTTGAATGTATTTGGAATAAAATGGCACTATAAACGAGAGCTTCTGTTGAGTTTCCTCTTAAAAAGCGATGTGCAAACTAGTGCATTTTATCGATCGCGCACCGTTTGTTGTTGAAGTAGAACAAGGCTAATGGAAACTCGGGAACGGCGTCTATCCTATGAACCCCGAATAGGGTGAAACCGGTCTCGGGCTGTCGCAGTCTTTACAAACTTTAGAAGTAAGAGGCAAGAAAATCTTCCAACCATCGGGAATACAGTTCCCATCTGGTTGGTTTAGGATAAGTAATGGGGCAAAGCAGTGTTCAAATATTCAACTTAATGGTGTTTTGTGAAAAACCGAATGCTAAAGGAAGGAGCCTGGATTGTGTAGCGCAGCGTAGCTTAATGTAAGCCGAATGGTACACTGTAGTGCGCTCATTCCCACAAAACAGTAAGTAGACCGATTCCAGGCTATGTTTTTGGGTGATTTATATTTTTAAGTTTTGATTAGAAAAATTCACGAAGTGGGTGACGAGGGTGCCGGTTTCCTGACACTGTGTATGCGATTACAGTTCGTCAGGTGTGTTCAGATGCGTTCTAAGCACAATCCCTTCGAGATTTTTGAGAACAACAGAAGTACACACGTCTAGTCCTTGATACCTGAATCTTTTGATGGCTGGTTACGCAGACTGACCTCCAAATTTCTGGTATCTTAACGGAATACCGGCAGGGATAGGATCAATGGGTCAGTAGAGTCGAAAGCTATTTGCAACTGTCTGCTGTAAGGGTCGAAAAACTCCGTTAAGTTTCGTTCGTTGTACCAGTATACACAGCTCTTCTAACCCAACCTAAATGGTCTGGACTGAAAGTGTAAGGGGATCTGTCAACCAATGTCAACTGCTGGATTGATGCTATACCTCGTGCATTACAGTCAGTCAAGAGGCTTCCTGTTGTCCACGCAGGACCTTCAGCAGCTCACGGGTACTCGGGAGTTTTGTATTCGGAGTACTGTCAGTTAGTTATGGCCCCAATGACCTATTTTTCATCGCCAAAAAAGTACTTGCGGTAGATAATCTGTTAGTTTCCTTGGAGGTCTATTGGGATGCTGACCAAAGAATTGCCCATTGAAATTTTCGACCGAGGAAATTTCCACGCAACACACGGGCCCCTATATATGGATAAATAGTTCCTTTAACCACAAACTATATTATAGACACGTTCCAATCTACAATCGATATCAATATCAAAGCATCAAAACTGAGAACAAGTCGAACGTACTGCTCAAAATTTAGACTGCTGAGTCGAACAGGAGAGCATGATATCAAGAAAAGCGGATATTATTAGTGGTGTTCCACCCAGAAATATTTCATGCGGCTGAACTAAGAAGGCCGTAAGCTGAACACTAGCATCGAACTATGGATGACTGGTCAGAAGTCAGCAAGCTTCAGAACTCATGGGTGGCGCAATATTCTGCCAAAGGGGAAGTCGACCACAAGCAGCTGAAAAATAGTATAAGCTGACTATCTAGAAACTAGCGAGGGTTGGTCTCCTGGAAAACTTGTGAAATAGATCTCGCTTGTAACTGTCAACAAGAGTAAAACAGCCACTCGATGACAAATGGCCTTCAAGCGGAATTCGCCTATGCCTTTCGAGGTGAATTCCATAATCTAGTCCTCAAGGCCTGTGCGGAATTTGTCAAAGCTTACCACCATGATACAAGGAATTCGGCTACTTTCATTTTAATTATTTTCGCGAATACTCAGATCCCGGTGACATATTTGTGGATACAGTGTCCGTACAGTATAAGCTGTATTCGGAGAAAAGAATTACTAGCACCCCTTCTTCAGGACAGGATGAAATGTAGTGTTTGGAAGAGATGGCACAGTATTGACGAGCTGTTGATAGTCTGTTTTTTGTACTTCGTCCGCCTCTTGGTGCCCTTACTTAGTACTTGGACGGGTGCTTCTGCAAGCCAAATCCTTCTAGTAAGTAGTTAACCGAATCTCGTTTTCGGTCCTCTGTGAAATCTACATCTCGTTAGCTTTTGTGTTATTACCAATTATTGTTCTCGAAAAGACATCGAAGGAGAACAAGGTTTTCGTAAGCTCACCCTCTAACACCAAATGCACGCGAGTTGTAAAAAAGAGGTTTCCGTGCCATGGAATGGCATTACTCTGCAAACACATCCACTGAAAAGCCCGAATGTCATAAGATGGCTATGCTCCATAAAGACCCTGACGGAAAACAAAAGACCGAACCAGAGCAACAAAATACGCTTCTTGAGATAGAGGACGGTATCAATCTCTTCAACAATGTGAAGGATGTCTGAGACTACTCGGACAAAGATAACATATCACCGACTATGACTGGTATGCTGCTGACCGAAACGGGTGAATGCTTCGGACGGATGGATAGGTGAGTAAATCAGAGTAAACTAATAAAAGCAATACAAGGCAGGTGAGCTTGCCGTGTTTGGAAAATGTTGTGAAAGGTGATGGCAACAAAGAGACAAAAGGCGATCCGGGGAACAATTGATAAGCGTCTAGGAAAATACGGAAATTTGAAAATGAACAAAGAAGCCGGTAGTGGTGGGATTGACCAGAATGTTAACTCTGCTTGGGCGCAAAGGCGCGATGCTACTGAAGAGAGTTCATACAACAACTGTTGTATGTGGCCGTGCTGTGCCACGATCGTTCAACCTTTGACGGTTGTCCTTGAGCGTGGGCGTGTATGGATGGCTCGGCATAAAAAAGAAACCGGTGTAAAAATAAAACAGGCTCATGGAGAGTAAAACAAAAAGCGTATGGTTGTGTGTGTACGAATTAGTATGAATACTTCTGTGTGAATAACACAACTGTGTGGATACGTGAATTATTATCCCTGAGTATCAAACGCGGCTTTTGAAAGCTGTCGGGCGTGGTTTAACAACACCACCACGTCCAGGAAGCAGAGTGGAGCCCATTAGATGCAAATCAACTTCGCGAGCTACTTGACGACCTTCGTTAATTGCATGTACCACCAACGATTGTCCACGACGACAGTCTGAAAAAGAGTGTCATTTGGTTTGGTGAGTGGTTTATACAAACGTGGGAGATGGAAGTCATCTATGTATCGACGGATGGATAGAATTTTAACGGATCAATATATCATGATGAACTACGGAGGTGACTCAAAACGGTAAAAGTAGTTAAACTAAAGTTAAAGGCCAGGCGGATTTCGGACGAAGCTTTGCTGTGGTCCATTGTCACTTTAGGTATGTAGGTGATGTGTTGATTCACCTCTCGCCCCAAAGTTGAGGACAATTCCAGTCCAGTTTGGACACCACAGCTACACTAACCGACAATATGGCTACATGAGGAACCAAGCAATACGGAGGTAAATGACATGAATAAGAACCGTTAAGTGTAGATGGCGTTATATCATTCCAGTCATCGACCCCCCAACCCCCGACGCCTAAAGTTAGTGTCCAACTCCTCTGTCGAAGTTGGTTGGTTTGAATCTGTGAACTGAGTATTATCGATAATTTTCGACAGGGATCAAACGACTGTACCGCATTTCACCATAGTTTGATCTTGCCTTGTTGGACGAAACCTAAAGCCGAGTATCTCCGGTTTTGTGTTGCGCGATCGAGATATGGTTCACTTGACATCGCTCGGATCAGTTCAAAAGAATTAGAGGTTGATTGTTGAGGTAGAAAGTGTGATTGCAACAGATTAGGACTGCATTTACACCAGCTGACAGGAATACTGAGTTGCACTCCACGAAGTGCCGATAATAGAATATATACGCACGACATAGAGCTGCAATTGTTGAGGAGTGTTCTTACATCTCGGGCAAATCAAGCAGTGTGACTTTACCAGAGCAAACGTAAGATAAACTCATAGGTCGGTATAGGAAAATAAGCTCAGCAAACTTGCTGCACAGCATCAACCGTTCCCGTAAACAACTGAACTGGCGTAAAATGTGCCTTCCTTAAACCTGTCAAGATTGTTGTTCAGGCTCTGTGACAGAATCAAAGTCGTATTAAGGGCTCTCAGCAACATAGAAGGCTCACAAATGGGATACTGGTAATTCGCATCTTAAGCCTTATCCCCTAAGAGAAGCCAACCCCTCCAAAATCTAGGACAGTCAGTCAGAAACTGGTGTGCTGTCACACTCATCTGATGGGAGCCGATAGACCCAATTGTCCGTGGTGCCGTCTCTTTGGAGTTCACTGGGGGATTGTTCGTTCATTGGTGTGGAACGCGCATGACACAAGTTACAAACAAACAAACTTGCGGATCGATACCGGGATTCAGAATTCAAAATTTGGGGTTTCTCGCGATGCACTTGGGAATATTAACCTTATAAAATCCGCTGTGTTGGCCGTAATCCTGTTTCTTCCGCCACAAGACATCTGACCTACGGTGGTTATTTTTCAACCTACAAAGTATCCAAAACAAGTGATCACCCCGCAATTCTTGAACCTTTAATAATTACACAAGTAAAGCCAGTCTTTTGGTCTCACAGACACCTGAGCTAGATGCTACATCCACTCATATCCACGTGACCCAAACGTACGTTGATACATCTTTGTTAGCGCCTAAGTTTGTGACACTGATTTGTATGCTCACTAGCTATATGACACACACAATAGCATTTACATGGCCATTCGAAATCACGTCGTCTCACTATTCAGATTTATAGATAGAACCAACTGTTCGGTAGTTACCAGGTCCGAGATTCGTGCACATATACATCACCTTTATGATGTCGAACTTGCAACTATTCCAAGCCACATGAAAGAGTCGGTGCAATCACTCCGAAAGACCGATGCTGATGAAGTTTTCAGGTGAACTTGGAACAGCGACAAACACATTTTGGCACCGATCACATTATCAACGCGACTTAAATTATGTGTACATGACAGACTTGCCTCCAGCGGCGTAGACACAAGATATCATTGTGGCAAACGACTCGTTTGGCCTGGTTGCAATTAGGGATTCTGGGCCCGTGACGGCGAGCCCCAGTTCTTCAATTAGTTTGTTCTCTGGGCCAACGTATCCGAGAGCCAACAGGACAAGGTCACACTCGATGAGCTGTTCCGAATCTAAAAGATCACATCAAAGACACGTGATATTTTTCAAAGCTCTGGAAACAGTTATGCTTCGGAAAAATATTCCATCGTTCTAAAATAACACTGGAAGACACTACAGTTTGTTTCATCTGTGCCAACTCAACGTAGTAAACAAGCGGACATACACACAACATGGTACGACACGAAGGTATGCAAACTGAACGAAGTTATCTCACATCACGTTGCTGCGGTGCAGTAGTCAGCTAGTTTACACGTCTCGACGAATCCAGTTGTTCTCTGAGTCCGTCGGTTTACCAGGCTAGTAAATTCGAGAAGAACGTCAGTCTCTAATCCGAACATCAAGGTAACTGTAGTATCCCAAGCTTACACTACAAGCAAACGTGGTGAGCTAGATTGTAGACAAACATACGCCGTTGTGACGGTAAGTCTCAGTTCCACTCACACCACTGCATTCACGCACAATTCTCCGTAGTTCCGTCTCATATCCACGGCCAAAACACGTTAACTTGAAAAACGTGATCCGGAAAATGTGTGTAAATCATGGTGGAAAAGTTGTAAATACAGGCTTGATGATAATAAATGAAGTGCTTTTGAACAGTCCCACTGCGCAGGCTTCGTATCTATTGATACGCTGCGATTTCCATTGTCGTATGAATGAGATGTGATGTGGCAGCAGTGTGTCGGTTGTACGCTAACTGGAAATTAATTAAGATGTATGGAGAATGTATAGAAGACATTGCTAGATATCCGATTTGATTGCGCATGGCGGTCTGTCAAAGCTGTCCGACGCATAGACGATGTGATAAGCGAAGGAAAGCCTGCGAATTATCTAATACCAGGGGGAGAGGGTGATTATCAATTTATTTAGTGGTGGTGCAGTGGGACCATAAGGTCGAAACTATGGGTTGAAAACACTTACCCAAAAACCATCTGTACGTTAAAAGCAAACCTCAGGTGCGTGATATCAAGCCCGATAAACACCGGAAAACAAGGCAACGGCACAATGTGTCATTCATTAGGGTAACCGGACGGAGGCAAGGTAAAACGAACTCAATGAACACAAGTTACCAAACCTCTCTCATGACCCCTAATCGTAGAAGATGAGTAGCAATTGAAGCGCTAAGATAGTCCAGGGCAGCGTTTCTCAGGGAGGGCAATTACAGGCTATCAGGGGACGATTGTTCAGAGTTGGTAGGGATAGGCGCAATGAGAGGGGTTGTTTTTTTATTGTGTGTTGGCGATTCCCGCAACACACGCGACACCGTACATCCTTGAGATGAACCTGTGGACTGTAGCTCGTGGGTACGTATAAACAAACCAACATGGTTCACACCCACTATCCGGAAGGTCAGATTCTGGAAGTAAGCCCCGAAAGCCCCAAATCTACTGTGACTCAACAGACAGACAACGCCCCCTCAGTATGTACGCGTGACAGCCTAGTATCAAACCCAGACACCGCGAATCAGCGTTGGTCAAGGTCAGACAACGCCCCCGCAACATGCAGCGCGTGACAGCCATATATCGAAGCCCGCCATCTGCGCGAGACAGCGTTAGACCAAGGTCAGACAGTATCCCTCCAATAGCCTGAGGCCACAGTGTTTTCGCGCTCGCACCACTGACGCTCTCGCTCTTGCTTGTTCGGAATAGAGGTGTTGTGTTCCCTTCGGCATTAGGCCCTGGAGTGGGGTCAGCAGTCAGATACAACAGATTGGCAAATCAGCAGATATAACGACCAGCCATTGCTAACGGACACACACCAGACAGGCGGTAAACGTTTTGTTGTATGTAGCCACACTTGCCATCGTGATCGGTACTCCTTTATCGACGCTCTAGTATGTTTTGTTGTCTCAGAGTGGGTTTCTGATAAAACCTTCCCTATTGCTGACATTAACCAATAATGGCTGGCAAGACATGCGGCGCACCGACATCCCTTACTGCTCGTTGTTCGTGTTTTTTAATTGCTAATTGAATATAATCAGTTTTTCATAGGCCAATGTGCCGATCGTAAACTGGTACTTGCCGTAACCAACCCACCTATTAACCTTAGGCCAATTGGATGTTAACGTGAAGCCTGTACAGGGGGAGTAGCAAATTGCAAGGGGAGGACAATGAGCTGGAAATTTTGCGAACTACTGCGCAGACAGCATGTACACCTTGGGATAGGATCAATATTAGGAAAGTCGCAGAAAGACTTTTAGTCACTGAAGAAACTATACGAGCGCTATCCTGAATTGTTGGGATAAGTGTGCATATGCCCACTGAGGTCTCAGAATCGTACCAAGCATGATCGTCATCATGATTCTTCACTTCTGGATAGATTTCATATTTTGTAGACCTGTTTTGCGTGGCAGTGAGCATTCATCCACCGAACTTAGCTATCGCACTGGCTACCATTTGTGTATTCTCCAAAAACAGGTCAACGGAACAAAATGAGATGTCACGTTCCTCCTGAAGGACACATTTTGGGATTATGAACGGAACCACTTCGAAGGTGTTGTTCCATCGGCTGAGCGACAGTGATACTCAGGATGGTCACCGTGTTACTGCCCCAAAACTTCGCTTGATTGTGTCCACGAATCATTTCAAGCCAACGCTTCGTTGCTAGACCAATGTATTCTGCTACACTGCAAGTGGTATAGTTCACACCCATCGGTGGCAAAATCAATCCACTGTATAACAACTGTTGAAATAAGACCACTACTGATCTTTTCGTTACTTGGACTCCATCTTTTGCATTCAGTTGAACTAGAAAAGTTAATTACCGAAACCCACTGGAAATGCTTGTTTTAATGACCAATAAGTTGAAAGTTTGCACATTCAACTACAGCGCCCTTTTGAAAGAGAAATGAAATAAAAGATACCGCTTGCACTCTTGATCGTTCAAATCTACTCCTGAGCCTGTTTGAAGATCCAGTTTCCACCGAGAATGACCAAAAATAATCGCCTTTTTATACCTGTTCTATGAATCCATGGGGTTCAGTAGCGAATCTACACTGCATATATTTAACTGAACTTCGAAAGGCACATCGATCATTCTCATCATCGTGTGCTGACATCTGATTATTACTTATCTACTTTTCGTTTACAGAACACACGGATCAGAAATTAAACAGTTCGATATGTATGTTTACACACACACACACACACAGACACCTAAGCCTGGTTTTTGAAAATGGTTGGATGAGCTGCTTACGTCGGAAGTTGATGAAAGCGAATTCAAACCAAAATGGTTGCGTGCGTCCAGCGGTGCGTTGATGCTTGCAGACTGAAGTAAAACAGCTGCTAATAAATTGTGATGTCATCGCTCAGCTGTAACACCTTTTCGGTGCCTAGTTGCCGTACCACACAAAGGAAGCACGAGGGCTGGGATACTGCCAGGTTGCCCGAGGCCAGACGGGAAGTCGAGAGGCAGAGTTCGGGTTTGAACCACGGACCTTCCGGTCAGTTAATTCGCGCTCTAACCACTGACCCATCTCGCCCTGCTAGCTCAACCCCATTTACAAATCCTTCGTTGAAAATGCCCATTCAAGTGTATACACTAACCCGTCGACTTCAAAACGACAGAAAAAGCCAAAAAAGAGTGCATATCCGAATGTGGATTCGGATACGGTTGCCCACAGAGTACTGATTGATATCAACAAGGCGGTGCGTCTAAGATGATTCCAAACAAAAGTGAAACAGCTGTAAAGTCTTTCTGGGTTGGTCGGCACAAACTGACCTCACTCGTAAGATGAAAACCGGGGTTGAACCAGCCAAGTATCCCTACGTGACGCAAATCCTGATGATGCTTGCGAGGTTCCTGATAGCCCTCAACCCATAGGCCAAGATTTTGATCACATGCTTTTAGGAAAAAGGGGGCCACATAGTCGTGTGACGAACTGTTCTGTGGAAAGCTTCTTCACTAATAACGGGTCATATACTAGACAATTGGTAATGAATCGCCCGGAATCCAGGATGGTATAGCAAAGTAAGGATGTGAGGTCACATATTGAGGTTGCATTAGATTTTATTGCTGGTATATGTCACGTCGAAGTCGCCTATGTTCATGAATTGTTCGCGTTAGCAGTGTTTTGAGATGAGTTCGATCACAAACCCAATGAATGATTCTGATACGGGCGGCCTTCAACCATTATCTCGAACGGCTCAGTGCAGATGTATTATCGTCCTCATTCTGGATTGAAAGAAGGAGCAGACAGATGTCCAGAAGCAGCATGAGGAGCTAGTTAAATTATTACATTATCTGAAACACACATTCGTCCCATCAAATAAGCGCGATTTTTGGCACTGTATGTCGATCGAATCCATCAGTCCTATGCGTTTTATCCTAAAAGTGAAGAAAAATCCACTTTAACGATCCTTTGCGCCACCTAATGAACCTCAACAAAAATGAAGGGCCATTTATGGCCATAGTGTCAGTACTCAGCCTCCGTATCATACCCACTGTTAGTCTGCTACAACATACAGAAAGTGGTGACTGCAGCTCACACTGGACAAATGACACGTATCCGTACCTGGGACCTCGTGCATTTTCCAACGTCCGTTCGAAGGGTCCTTTGTCCATTCGACATTAGCGATTCGAAGGCCACCGACAGCACCGGACCCGTTGTCCAAAAACTCCTTGGTGATCACACTGAACTTTCGTGGATCACGGCCGAATCGCACCGCAACTTCCGCATGACCATACTCAACCCGCCACACACGTGGCCATTCGGGCCAAGGGTTCTCACTGGGGTCACGAGAAGGTGGTGGCGGCGGAAGGAGTTCCAGATTCACGATGGACTTCGCCCCCTGGTGTCAGAAGAGAAGAGACATGTGAAGCCAACGTTACCGCTCACGCCAAACAGCGTTTTGAAAGGCGGAACGCACTTCGGCTGAGAGCAAACACGCTAATTAATAAATTGAGTAGACTCACTTGACGAAGTGCAGTGGCCATACAGTCCACACCAGTGTCACCACCACCAATGATCACGATCCGTTTGTCCTTGGCAATTGCGGATACTGCATTATCATCCATGCGGTTCATGCGGAAATTGTCTATTCCGCCGTTTGATTGGTGTTTTTTCTGTTGACTGCGTTGCCAGCGCTCCAAGAAGCTCATAGCGAAGTGAATCCCTTCAAGGTTTCTCCCTATGTGAACGAACCAAAACGTTGTAGGGTTACATATCAACCAGTATCATTCTCCTCCTCCTCTTCCTCCACATTTCGACTACTGTGACCTCTCAGGTGTGCCATGATGATAAGTACAAGTAGATTAAAAGTGATCACCAGCTGCAGTTAGACTAAGTATCCCTACGTTACACGTAGCCCTTAATATAGACAGTAGCTTGTTGGTAGTGTGAGGAGATTTGGGATTTTTGTGGGATTTCGTCCTGTAAGTGAAGCCAATCTATGGTGAAAAGCCGAGAAGCACTGTACAGCTGTTTCATCCTTATTGGGATTCATCAGCAGTGCGCATCTCACGAAGTTCCGAAGAGTATCGAACCCGCGACCTCCCGGCTAGACAATAGCTCTCCAAAGCAAAAATAATGCACAACCTCCTGACTCAGTTGGAATGAACAAAAATGTGAACTATTTCACCAGCCGCATCACTCAAAAGGTAACCTATCCTCATTCTGCCCCTCTTCCCTTCAGTCTCGTTCGCTTTTCAGCTCGTACTGTGCGCGTCTCAATAGATGACCAGAGCCTGATCTACCAGGGTCAACTACGATTAAAACGTGATCCTAGACAGGGCTCAGGAAACAACTCAGCATTCACAGCACTACATGCTTCAATGGACATGGGAACTGAAACCGCGATAAACGTACCAGGAATATTTAAATCACGGGGCCATGTGGCACCGAGGCACAGGACCATCGCATCGTATTCGCGCAGCAGTTGTGCGGCGCGCCACTCTTGTACGGGCTGTGCGGGATCTTGGCAATCCGCGTTCAAGTCTCGCCGACCACTTTCATCACCCACTGTACCAACCCGAGTATTTACAACAAATTTCACACCATTCGCGCGCATCAGATCCAAACGTCGATCGAGCACTCTGCGGTCGAGTTTCATCGTCGTGATTCCATATCGCAGGAGACCGCCCAGTTTGTTTCGCCGCTCTACCACTGTGACTTCATGCCCAGCCTATAAAAACGGAAGGAGAAAAAGTGAACTAGCACAATTCTTTTCAAGGAATAGAACACAGATTAGTGATTGTACAGAGCGCTGGTGGTGCGAGGCATAGTGATGTAATACGCTAAATTCACTGGAGTATGATACCAGATTAAACCATTCATCAGACATCCTAAATGAGGAATAACGGGGTCTATTTGTATTTACTGAGACGAAGTCTGAAATTTGAAAAGAGGAATAAATGTCACATATCAGTAGGACCGTTTTAGCTCGGTTCACAACAAGAAATTTCCAGCAGTGGTAGGTGGATTTGCGGGTAAAAATTGCATATAAAACTGCTGCGTTAACGTGAGGGGTAACTCGGCGTCCGTAGGACAGATTTTGCAGCCCTGCTATCACAAGCATCAGGGAGAAGATAAAATCTGCTCTATTGGTTAGGATTATACAAATTCATTATCATGTTACCCAGTACCTGTGCAATTTAGTGCTAGGATTTGCGGGCAGGATGCTGGAATGAGTGAGTGACTCAAGAATAGCTAGTTGTGCCGCGAACAATAGACACACTAAAGACTACATCCTCATATAACCTAGTACGATTGCAGATGAATGTTTTTCTAGTACTGCTGGTTTACTGTAAGTCAGTGCGCAATGAGCGTGGATTGATTAAGCAGTCCAACTTTATATAGCAACGAACACAACCCAAGTGAAACACCATTTCTGGGACCATAGCTCCTGCTGAAACTATTGCTCAAAAAGTCAGTTGGGCTTGTCATCTTAAGTCACATACCGAAGACATGTTTCTTTCTGACGCAAAAGCTGTACATGCCGATGACGTCTCGAATGGAGTGGAAGCAGTCATGCTTGAGGCGACGGCTTAGCCAATCACTGTGAACATAGGGCAGGTGGAGGGAGGAACCTCGAACTGACAACCTGAATAAATAGCTTCTCAAACTGGGATAAGCAACGATGGAGATATTTAGCACGTGGATGCAGCAGAGAGATACCATGGGAGGGTAAGTGAGGGTTACAAATTGCGTAGTTAGAGACAAGTTAAGGACATCAGATAAAAGTGATATTACCTTAAAGTTGAGTTCTTTGATTTATTTTTCCGCTACCTTTTTACGAGTGGTTCACATGTCATGTGTGATCGGCATAGGACAAACTGTACTAGTTGCGGTTTTCTGTGCCCTCTATTCTTTTTGTATCGAGTTTGCATATACATCACTAATCGCACGCGGACTTTCTAGACATACTTTGTCGATGAACCCATTAAAATCAACGTTGGGTGCGAGTTGGATGTTCTTAGCGGACGTGGCTGAGACAGGGGCTGCTCTTCAGGGCAAAAAAACCTAAAGGAGAGCTTCACTCAATATTATGATTGCAACGAAGTGGCAGTTGAGAAGCGCGATGCGTTCCACTTTAAACATTTACCCTTTATCAAAAGGGTTGGTTCGCCCAGAGTTCTGTCCTTATTAAAAAAAACTGGACTGCTAAATGAAAACTTGAAAGCGGGCACGTTGACTGACCTGGTTCAACTGATCCGCACAAGCCAGTCCAGCAGGCCCACTGCCCACGATCACAATACGCCGTCCGGTTGGAGGGCGGAGAAATTCTTTGCTTGGACGGAACCAACCATTCTCCCAGGCTTTGTCTGCAACAGCACATTCGATGTGCTTGATCGTGACGGGATCAGAATTGATGCCCAACACGCAGGCACCTTCACAAGGTGCTGGACAAACTCGACCGGTCAATTCAGGGAAGTTGTTGGTTTGTGCGAGAGCAAGGTGAGCCGCATGCCAGTCACCCTGTGGGTGGAACGCATAAGGAAAACGGGTAACCATAGAACAAGGGGATTCCGAAGTTGTCATCGTGCTGATATCGGTTAAATTCAGCGGAGAAGCGAAATGTAGCACATAAAATATTATTCTCTTGATAATCATCCATATATGGATTGGGAAGCTTTGAAAAACGGACGACTTGTGCGTCAAGTTGTTCTAACTGCACATCAGAGATGGCAACCAGGTACATCAGACACCCGGTGAAATGGACAAATACAGTCCCTAAGAACCGAGCGTAGGTAACCAGTTTGGTGCATCAACAATTTTTAACTCATGGACCAGGAACACCTCCCTACAGAGTAGCAATTTCCAAAATGGGTTTATTGACATCTCTAAGGTATGTCAATGGAGCGTAACCATGATGTCTATAGCTAAGTAATAAACTTTGCTAGTTTCAGTGAACACAAGCCACCCATTTAATTTAGATTAAATAAAGCCCAGCAGATAAGCGGGATCGAACGGAAAGGAACGGACTAGTGACTGTCACACAACATAGCACGTTTACGCATAAATAAGGGTAATCTGATAACTCAAAATATTGTCTGTCTCAAATTCACAAACCAAAACTTGATGTCCTGTTTAGTTGTCCTGTCTAGTGCTCTCATTACGAGTTCGTACAGGAAACGAAACAGGAGAAATGGTTCCTCTGGGAGAGAAGAAACTACCCTATGAATGACTGCTTTACAGGGAACGTGCATATTTCTTCACAAGAAATATTTTGCCATATGTCTGACCCGGTTATACATAGCCTGCATGTTCTACTATTTGTTTCCGACAGATTGAGCTGTGGACAACGGGACAGTGGGATACAGTGCAAATGGAGAGATGAAGACCAGATGAGCAAAAAGGAATCCTTAGCTTCGCATTTGTCTTATCTGACCCTAAAGCTACCGTCATCAACTCATCATCCACACGGAAAATTGGGTCCAGTCAGTCCTCGCCCGGTTTTCTGGATGTTCAACAACACGTAAAATGAAAATATATAAAAAAACATATCTCAACTGATTCAGAAGACAGTTCGCGACCAAAGATCATGGAGCTTCTCACAAGAAACTTCTTCGTTCAATTTTGAGAAGCGCAGTGTCATGTAGATTTTTCACTCCTGCCGGGAATCTACAGATCAGCGTGCATAAATAGTTTTGACCGGGACTCGGACGATATTTATCTTGGCTATAGACGGTCTCAATTACACGCTAGTAATGTATCTAACTGATTATCACTAAAATCAGCTCTGCTACTCTTGCCGGGAACCAGGGACGAAACCCTGGAAATCTGTCTATGCGCATGCAGACGGTCCAATGTACTTCGGAACACCGTTTCACTACCAACCTATCAATTGGTCCATTTGACAAAACCAGAAAGCCAATCCAGGCTGCAAGACGATGGCGTTCAGGCACGCACTGTTCAGTACGTTCTAGGCAAGCTGCATTCAAAGTGGCAATATGTACCCGTTTACGCGATACTTGGTTGCATATGCAGCACTATTAGATCAATATTTATGGCTTCCAGTGTTTTTGCGCTTGTTCACAACCAGCTTGGGCTTCACCCCGGGCACCTCCGTCGTCCATGGAACATGCACACAACATCCCAGAGTACTGAATGGAGTAAAAAACACATTGGACCTCTAACTGGCACAAAATCGATGAAAAAGGCGTCCAGTACACTTTATACCGTGTTGGTCACTGATACAACAAACGGTCTGTGTGATAAAAAGGCATTCAGTTATATGTTCATACCACAAGAAAGGAGGGCAATGCTGTTATCCTGTTCATTCCTGAAATGAACCTGACTCTAACAGGTTTTGGTCCCAAACGAAGCAGAGTACTAGGAAAGCGAACAGATATAAAGACCTGTTATAACCAACTAGGGCCAGACTATATTCCTACTAGTTGCTACGATGTTAGTAAGTTGCACAGTAGATTTGATCAACTTATACCACATCTCAATAGCTCTCATCGACGGATTCATCAAGAGTGAAAAATTTTTGAGTTACCTGCTGTTGGTGGACATGTTCGGATTTGTTAGAACTGTATAAGTTCATGGAGTAATAAACTTTCATGTCACCACTGCTGCAAAATCTATGGATAATCACTGCGAGAAATACCAGAACATTTTGTGACGGGGGGAAACTAAAAATGAGAAACCAACACAGTGCTCACCTTGAAAACCAAATCATTCCAGTTGGGAATAAGATTGCCCAGAGGGCAACCAACGTATGATTGACAAAACGGCACACCACAATCCATACAACGTGCCGCCTGCCGTTTGAGACCCTTACGCACTTCCGCGTGAGCGTACACTTCGTCCCAGTCTTTGGTTCTTTCTTCAGCTGAACGGTAGCCAACTTTCGTGCGAGCATACCTGACAAAGCCACGAAGCTTGTCTAGTGGAGCTTCTGAGTCCGACTGGTCACCGGCAGCCATGTCCTCAATATCCACAGCAGTTTGTTTTGCCTACCGAAAGAACAGATAATGAAGGAGTCATGTATTCGGACTGGTACAAACAATATGTTTAGGCAAGGTTAAAGTACACTCGTCTCTAGTGGCACTCCTGTACTACCACTGGTACGCCTTTTCCTGATGAGGTAGGGGAGTAGAAAAACATGCGCTCAAACCGAAGCTTACAAACAAGATGAGGCTGCGAATTTGTTGTTGACGCTACGATTATTCTGCAATCGAAGGGTTGCCAACAAAAATGATACAACATTACCGGCTGTCGTTAATCGGGAACAGGGAAGGGTGGGAACTGGAACAATACCTTCAATTCCACTATATGGTGACTTGGTTCAGACTGAATCACCGTGTTTTCCGAATGCTTTTCTTCCATTTCCTTTAGAGCACGGCGATAATCGCGCGGCATCACTAAGATGAATCTCTTCAGCGCATTGTCCCAATCCTCCAAAATTTTCTGCCCAACCTGCAGGGAGAGGATTGAAGAGAAAAGGATCAAAAGAGAGGTTCATACTCCATACACATAATCATGACAAAATTGTTTCGCGGCACCACCTTAATCAATGAGAGTACGGTAAGTTCATCTTAAAATGCCTACTTCGAAAAACTCCTGGGTACAGTTATATGGTCTCCCATTTCCTAAAAGCCTACATTTAGATTCACTCAATCATCAGTTTACATGATAGGCTTCTGGATATGTCAAAGTGATATAATAGCCTCCAGAAACCGAGGTGTACTGCTCGAATCCGAACGAATAGGTGACAGAGGACAGGGTATAAGTAACCATAGAGGAGGAAGTTTGCAAGGTAAGGGAATGCACAAAAGCAGAAACATACCTCGGAACCAGTCTCGTGAGTAAACTCTTTGAGTATCGAAAGCAACCAAGGCGCATATGGGTTGTCGCTAGTCATCATTTCCAGATCGACCAGCTCTCGGTTACACTTGCGAAGAAACGGTCCCTCCAAACCACCGTCCGTATCGTAGAGAAAAGCGATTCCACCAGACATTCCCGCAGCGAAATTACGGCCCGTCCGACCGAGAATAACCGCTCGGCCGCCAGTCATGTACTCACATCCATGGTCACCAACGCCTGAAAAAAGTGAGTTTAATAAGAAAGAAGAGAGAGCCCATTAATTCGTTCTCTTTTTAGATGCTACACCAAGAAAGCCGCAGGTCATTGCAGTTTGCTTCAACGCCGACCGCAGCGAATATTTCCCTGATATTCAACAGTTTATCGTGGTAGACCTGCAAAAATGATATCAATCTTTGTGATCTGCGCCACTGTGATGGACAATATTTTTCCCTATCCGACCGGACTCGGTTTAGAACGATCAACGATAAGCGCATATTAACAATAATTACTGAGAAATTTATGAATATCTACAGACTATGGGACGTCCTAAACCCTTCCTGGGGTGCTGGTTTCAAAAACCTAACCGACAGAATTCCACATACGCCTAGAGAATCAGTTTGCTTCGTTCCTATATTTCTGAAGATTTTTAAAGTATAAACATTTCGTCAAAACACATATTACGCTGCTCATCGTGCAGCTGTTATGGTACCTTGGTATTAGTCAGCTAGCCTACAGCAACTGAGAAAATGTGGCAGTTACAAAGTAGTATTTAGCGATGGTGCATTGCTGTCAATGTTGATTGCGATGTTGTCATCAAAGAGATGTGTCGTTGAGACAACAGAATATCCCAAGTACTCTAACCTCTGTGTGTCTTAATTTGGTAGCTGTACACCCGGAGATTCGTACAAGGAGTCTAAGCCTTACAACAAGAAATTTTGCGAGAATCTAACTTTATAATCTCCAACCGGTATTTCAACTATCAGGTTCTAACGGACGTTGTCCTGTATGTTCCCTACGCCAAGCTATCGATTAAATAGAGCAATTCTAGGCATAACTGTGTCAAGCGTACACCGATACAAGATAGTGTAGCCAGCCAATTTCGTACGATATTCAATTAATAAGAGAAACTACTATTGTAGTGTTTCATTTTCCGAAACAAACAAGTTATGGTTTCCCAAGTTCTTGAAGAGGGCATAGGAACAAAAATGCACCATATTTTCAGTGCCTACCTAATTTTGGGATTGCACGGTGTCCCATGTATTTGCTTCCGGTTGTCATGACTTTAATGTAGTGAATCAGCTTCGTTAACTGCATCTTAAGATTTTTTCAAAATGATTAAACAACAAGGTAGAAAGACTAGGACTTTTAGAACAGCTATTTCTATACTGATATCCTGATTCGCTTTGACGCGGCGGGGGCGAAGCTGGAGTAAAGAATGAAAACTTGCTTACCCTCGGCAACCACCACTGCGCCAGAGTTGCGTACGCAGAATCGTTCAGCTGCCTGGCCCCTGAGGAACAGCCGACCTGATGTGGCTCCGTACAGACAAACATTTCCAACTATGATGTTTGCTTCAGATTTGAAGCCTTGCTGAAGTAAACTTGTGGGAGGTACGATGGTCACCTCTCCTCCAGACAGTCCTTTAGCCACGTAGTCATTGGCATCACCTTCCAGACGCACGGAGACGCCGTGCACAAGGAAAGCGCAGAAACTTTGGCCACCGCTTCCGGTCAGATGAACCTGAAGGATAACAAATGGGCACAACGCCGGCACATGGGTACACAGACGTTGGACTAGGTCTCCTTAAATGTATTACAAGTGCATCATGACACCCGGTTGTTGAGAAAATCCCGGAAAAGACTATTATTGGTAGGCTCATTGAGACCTAGTTCAAAAGTGAAGCACTATTCAGAACAGTGGCAGACGGGAACAATCGGGAAAAAGCAATCGCATCAGGTTCGCCTTACATGTCAGATATCGGTGAATTCCCGCCATCAGGTTGTAAAAATATAAGCAAATGTGACATAGAAAGTTTGCTTTATATTACTTTCTGGTGGCCTTTCCGTTAGTAAGGTTAAAGGTTAAATGAACAATGATAAACTTTGCAGTGAGGAAAGTACGGATGCATACGAAGACGTTTCGTGTCCATCCAACTGATTGATTTTGCAGGACAGAGTAGTCTGATTGTTATCATCAAAGGTAGGCGCACACAGTTTGACACAGAAAAAGAGATACAGAAAACCATATTTGGTCTACATTTAATTCGCTACAAGTCACGGGAAATTAGCACCCCCACGATATTTTTGATAAGCAGTAGCTGGGACTGCGTTCTCCAAGTTAAGGGGAACTAGGCAAGCTGTCCACGCGGAAATAGGGTCTACACACTTCAATATTTTCAAATGTAATTTGGGTTCATTAGAGGAAATCAACACTTCATCAAGTAAGCTTCTAAGGTGCGAAAGACAAGGAGACAATATCAACAGGCCAATGAAGCAAATCCTCGACATGCTAGGTATGAAAAACCGACAATAGTAACGGCAACTGTTTGTGCATGATGTACTCTATATCCGGCTTCGACAATTACCACGCTATTCATACCCTAGTCTGAGTGAACGTTCTGGTTATTGAAGAGTCGCTGGACAAAGTCAGCACAAGTCACATTTCGCATTCCCTACCCAATCACCCCAGCCACGCGGTGAGCAATCTCCACGCTTCAACTACCTGTAAAAATGCCAGTACCTACTGGCTTCAGCACGAATAGTGGTATTGGCATGTTTTTCCTTCACGTGATTGTTCGGTTCTCAGGGAATCTGATTGGTCAGAAATGATTGCAGCTATGTTAAAAATGGCTACACACAAGTTTGATGTGTCTGACGCACCTTGATCTGTCTATCCGGAGGTAGCCCCCGATCCGCAAACTGGACCGAAATAGCATAGCTCAGGGTGGATAGCGCAGCCCGATCCTCGTTGGTGATCTCTCCCGTGAATGTGACCACAGACTGAGTGGCGTCGATCGGGGTAGACTCCGGCGTTTCTATCAAATGTTTCGCTAACTTCAACAGCTGGGCGTCCAACTGCCTGCTGTGTGGCAAAATTTGAATCAAAGACTCGACAGGAGTCATATCTGGATCCACTGGGTCATGTTCTTCTTCATCATCCAGCATGACTGACGTCCAATTAGGATGGAACTTGATGGGTTTGGTATTGTATAGGAGACCACTTAGATCGAGACGTGAGGCCTTCTCGCTTTTATGGAACTCAATTGGCTAGGGTAAAAAGGTAAGAGATGAGGGCGGATGCAAAAGAAGAAATCATCAAAAGTACAATCGTTCTCGCATGACCGATAGTACGAGTTACATGAAGGCAGTGCCAGCAAATAATTGGGATGGGGAAACCGATAGTGTCAGAATTATAAAAAAATGTACGTGATCTAAAGCATTTACCTTGAGGAATTCGGTGCGCCCGATAAGATCTTCCAAGCGACGTACACCCAATTTACTCATGTACACACGAACCTCCTCGGCCAGTAAAAACAAGTAGTTGATCACATGCTCAGGGGAACCGGCGAATTTAGCTCGAAGAACTGGATCCTGCGTGGCAATGCCCACAGGGCATGTGTTGAGATGACACTTGCGCATCATTGTGCAACCAAGGACAATCAGAGGCGCAGTGGACATGGCAAACTCGTCTGCACCAAGCAGAGCTGCGATGAGCACATCACGACCTGAGCAGGGTGTAGATGAAAGACAGCAATCCGACTATGAATGTGCTATTTCAAACATAATGTATGTAACAAGCGGATGCTGAGTTGCTTGATGGTGACGTCACAAGAATTACTTACAGAGACCGTAGGTGACTAAGGAAATCAATCTTCAACCAGAAGATATGGCGCGACTCTGACTCAGTGCATCTCAATTAGGTATTCGCACCGCTGGTCACAACAGCATTATTTTCCCTAGTACGGCATCCAAAGTATCCATTGTGATAGGATGTTGGAAACAGGGGATGCACCCTAACTTCTCGCCTGAAGCCTCGAGTAAACTAATCAGCTATGATGAGAGGTAAGCATAAAGTATCACATAACGGGTGGATTTTGTTAGTTGTTGTTAAAAATACTGATAACTTGAGCGCATTCGTGTAAGCAGTGTTTTGCTGACTATGCTTAGTTGAATACGTCTCCTTTAGCTCATTTTCGTCTCGTTAATTGGATGTGACAGATCGTCACAGCAAGCCAAGTATACTCCTGCTTATTATTCCCAGTAAAGCAACAAAGGACCACAGGTGAAGTTGGAAGAATAAGGTGGATAATGAACATGTTTGTTCTTTATCTGAAGCCGACAATTCGGTTTCATCACCAACAGTGTTCTTCACAGCGATAGCGAGTACTGCGTGCGGTTTTGCATTGTACAGTCTTGCTTGTGCTGTAATTCGCAAGGTGAGAACCTCTCGAAAATATGTAATTACCAAAAAATATCAATTTGAGGATACTGAGGATCCACCTCAGTATCGTTTGCGAGTGCGTACAAAGCGTACCAGCTCTTTCTTATCACGGCTACTTGTGCAGATAAATCGGCTTCCAAAAGTATGGATAATAACCCACATTCTTTGTACAAAGATAGATTACCAAATTATGTCAGTATTCACTACTCCGTTTTTATATTGAACACGTTTCGATAGATCTCCATCGGAACAGTCTAACAAGGTACGTTGCAGACAAGCTACCACGTCAAACAAGCATTGGATTATTCAGTACTTTATGACAGTAAACTAAAGAAAACTTAATGGGTTGTAATTAAATGGACGACGTCCGAAACGGGCGTCACTGATACTGCATGTATTATGACCTTTAACTGTGTAAACTTCTCCGTCAAAATCAACAAATTTCACTTTGTGTATTAACACATAGTGAAACAGTTGCCTGAACGAAAACGATTTCACTTCAAGCGACAAAACACATCGCAATCATATGATTACAACGTATGCATTCCAAATTATGGTGGGCATGTTTACTAGACACCGTGTAAAGTAACTCGATCGATTTATCCAACACCTGTCGGTGAAAACAACTACTGAAGCGTGAACATACTGGCTTCGTCAGGCACTACATTCATAGTGTTAACTAGCTTATTTTATGAAATTGATCTAAACTCATGGCCGAAAAAAGGGAATGGACGAGATAAAGGACGGAACATAAGCATGCAGTTGTATCAGTCAACAAAAACCAGGCAACGCGGGAAACGGTAAACTAACCGGTACGAATTTGTCCGTCCACTTGCAACAGTACTCGTGAACGTGTGCCTTGGTTAACAAGAATTTGATGCGTTTCCGCAATGCCCAGCTCCCAAGGTAGGCCGGCATGTTTTATCCCTGTCCAACTACTGGCTCCAGTGCCCCCATCGTGACCAGAGATGGTGATGTGAACAGCGCGAGCCTAGTAGAAAACCGCGGTAGTCCAAAGAAGGCTTAGAACCGAAATTTTCTTGAAGCACTTGGTTATCAAATCATTTATATCAAACATCAGAGCAATGGCACACACTGAAAACAGTAATCAGCGTTGACCATTCGGCTATTGCTATTTGATAAAAAAGACGACGGGCTCCTAAATCCACGGAAAAAGCTACAGTAATCGTTCGAAAATAAGTTTCATTCAAAGGGAGATACAAAACTGTCCAGAGATGATAGTCAGCTAGGATGAACTCCATAAGGCATACCCAGAAGAACAAAAAACAAGCTGCATTCTCTGTAAAATGACGGGAAGATGAGGCATAAATGACGACTGATCGGAATTCGGTTACTCAGAAGAAACTCTTGCAAACTTTGGAGTACGAGCTATGCCTTCTCATAACCTAATCTGAATGTGCTGCAGCCACGTTGATCCAGTGCCACGCTGCTCCACGTGCATCTTCGCCCCATTTACACATCTACCGTTAGACGTACATGTGATTGGATGGCAGCTTCGTATGAAATTGCGATGAATTAGTCATACTGAGCACCGCTTTTGGACAGTAAGCTCCTCACGAGCAATCACAGCGAGAAAGATAATGGGTGATTCTCTATTTCTTCGTGAAGGAGTCTAAAGGAAGAGACGTGTTGCTTCATCAGCGTACCGGATGAGCGACACGCAACCTGTTAGACGACACAGATAATCATAGTGTCTTGCAACAACAACCACTGGGAAAGTGGGACGGAACCCCTGAACGGCTAACTACCGGTTTAGCCTATCAGGTGGACACTGCGCTTTTCCATCATCCATTTGCTTCGCTGTATAAGTATGGGACGAATCACTACGTAACCGGAAGACCAATAGGCCATTATTAGACTTACTTTTGCCACTCCTGCCGCAACCACTCCCACGCCAACCTCTGAGACCAATTTCACGCTGACCAGCGCAAGTGGGTTGGCCGATTTCAAATCGTAGATAAGCTGTGTGGTCAAACAAGTCCACAAAAAAAGAAACAGTGGTGAATACGAGAAATACGCTCCAATTCCAAGAATATCGCGGTAATCATCGAGTTTGCTACGTCTGCTAGCTTGAGTAACATGTATGCAGCTTTGCTCAAGCTATTTAGGGAGTTGCGACTATTCGAACAAAGTGGGATTATAATGTTTCGCCACAGTTCAAAATAAGTTATGACAACATTGATTAGATTTGATGCCAAGTCGGCGAAGAACTTCATGGGAAAAGTCGACAAAAACGAAGTGGCCAACAAAATTCCTCTGACGGAGTTAGTCATCAAATTTTGCTAACCTGAGACAAGTCTTCGATTGAGTAGATGTCGTGATGCGGAGGAGGACTAATTAATCCTACTCCGGGAACAGAGTAACGCGTACGGGCGATCTCCTGTGTGACTTTGTAGCCAGGCAATTCCCCACCTTCGCCAGGTTTGGCGCCTTGAGCCATTTTGATTTGTAACATATCTGCATGTGCCAAGTAGGAGCTATCCACTCCAAAGCGGGCAGAGGCAACCTGTGGGTTCACGGCAGAAAATTGAAAAGGATTTGAAAGATCTGTGGGAGCAGACATGGAATTAAAAACCTAAGCGACCTAGTGGCGTTCGTCGTCACTGTCTGCAGTCCGATTCAGTGTGATAATCGAAACTGGAATTGTGTACTATATGTACACAGTCTGGTTACTGTTGAAATGAATCAATGACGGATACGAGAGGTCGGTGTGAAGAAATCATGGAGAATCGGGACAGATTAGGCGTTCTGTAATGAGAATGAAATCGACACGACTTCGCTGACTGATCATGAGGGTTATTTTGCTGGTAGCGCTTTCCCCGTCTCAGCTACGGGTATTATGAATCCAATGTTTCAAAATTGCAAACAAAAATACGGATAGCACGTGAACTAATACTAACCTGTTTGATGGAGGAACGAAGATCTTTGTTCAAATAACGTTCCGGTCGCTCGCCTCCTTCACCGGTATTCGAACGGGCCCCAATGCGATTCATAGCTATGGCCAAAGTAGTGTGGGCCTCTGCGGATATACTACCAAGGCTCATTGCACCTAAACGTTGACCAAGAATGAATGAACAAGAATGAATTACCAAGACACCCAAAAGGACTTGTCAGTGGGTCTCAAGTGGATTCATTCATTCATTTTTGGAAGTATGCTCCAGTTAAATCAAATTAAGTGAATAATGAAGCACGGGACAGCCGTATGTCTAAAGTCAGCAGCTTATTGGTATACGGTTTAAATAGGGCTTGGACACCTTAGCCAAAAGCAGCGTTTTCAGTTCATATGTATGTATCAGTTCAGTATTTTTTCATACACTGCAATTAGTATGTTGCACGTTGGGTCTTTAAATTCAGTTGGAAAACTGAGAAAAAACTTTACAGCAGGAAGACCATAGAATACGTTCTCGGGTTGTGAAATCACGCGCGGTCGAAGTCTCGCTCAAACATGCGTTCCAGATACACAGCAAGGTAAGCTAGCTACCTTAGGCTTCGCAGCCACCAAACTTCATCAAAATTATCAGATAAGCAAGCTGAAATACCACTGAGAGTGAAATGAGTAACTTCAGCGCATCAACATTGTATTCATACAGAGATTCCATCATGATGGGTATCAGAGAAAATTTGCTGGTTAACAGTGGTTAGACAACTGGATGCCTGCGCATAGTTGAACAACAAACGGCTCACTCGCAGTCAGAGGGGGTGCTGCCTACAAGCACTTGACGTTAGTATACACGCAGCAGAATGAGATAGTCGTCGAAGTTGTCTTCACTGTCCTGCTTCTGATCGTCGAATGTGGGCAAGGAACACTTTTGAGGAGTTTGGACTGAACATAAAAACTTATTTAGAGTGCCTACACCATTAGCTTTCATTCTTAGGGGTAGATAATGAGGGATGGAAGCCCGACTCGCAATTCTACTGTGAACAACAGGTGTCTGAATAGCACCAAATACACGGTTTCCAAAACTATATTTTCAGTAATATGTTGGCGGTCACGGAGAGCGCAGTTTTTTTTTTTTGGGGGGGGGGGGGCAACTTTTCCTAAGCCTAACCCTCCTTCAGAAAACGCATCGGTGCTTCCGGATATATGGAAATGCTGTTCTCCTGCAGGAAACATTCTGCCGTTCTCATATGACCGTCGAAGCGAAAAGTACGATTCCACCTCTAGAACATTTCGAAAGCGGATTTTCGCTACACTGCTGATGCTTACTTGGGAAGGCCACCAACGGCGGCGTCACACATGAATCGTCATGGCTAGTAAGTAACATGTGGCAGTTGTCGTTATCCAGTGTTACCCTACCACCTTACCGAAAAAACAGCACAACTGCACTACAAGGTGGTGGTCTTTTCCATTTTCACTGTAGAAACGGAAATCGAAAGGTTAGATATCACCAAGCTACTCATAAGTAGCCTGTTCCTACGATTTTCTGTTTACAGCTATTTCCGTCTCCCTCAGTATTGGTAGCCCGTGCGGTGGAGTGCCAAAAGTTACTTTGCGCTCTTCGTATGCCTGTCCCTAACCTTTATAACTGTTTGGAATTTTTTATTTAGGCCAATTCGACTTGGCTGGTTGGAAATCCATTGCACTAATATTTTGGCCAAAAGTCGCTCGACCAAAGTTGTTACATTCAGTGACGGTGACAAGCCGAGTCTCGAGGACGATGGGTGCGCAGAAGACCAATCTGCTCTGGACTTATCCTACTTTCAACAATTTTATGACTGAGAAATCCCATTCCAAGCGGAAATCCGCAGGCAAGTATTGGAGACGACGGTTTGTTCAGTTAGTTAGGGAACTAGGAAGCTGTGAAATGAAGACGATATTTTTGACGTACAAACGCTACTGACTGCGCGATTGAGAAATTTCTGCCAGTGTCATCAACCACTTTTGAGTTGAGTTCCGGACTTCCCATCCAGGGAGGCGGCAGTTATCGGTCCGAATGAGTTGACTGGTTAGTGTTTTTACACTTCAGTTGCTTCCGCTCAACACAGAGCTGGACAAAAAGAGGTATATAAGTCAGACGGTCTTTTAACACGTGGAGTACATGTCCTAAACAGCGTGGCCGATGAAGCGTGAGTAGCTTATCGGTCGTGAGGAAGTTTCCCTCACCTAAAACAACCTGGCATACCTCGGCGTCGTTGAACCAATGTCGCGGCAGAACCAGCTAATGCCTCGGAGATAACCGGTAGTCAAGTAGTCCGTAGACCTCAGGCCAGCGCCATAAGTGTGGGAGGTTGGCAAAAGTTGCCCTGGTCTACCCATATTGGAGAAGTAAACTCGTCTTCAGCTAGTTCATCGGGACTCATACAACTGCCCCGGTAAAAAAAATATCCACCACGTCGATTGGATAGTCTGCAAACATAAGGTTTGAATTTGATCCGACGCAATTTGTAGCAGAACTTCACACTTTGCAGGTGTGAATCGCATGCCAAACCATGCGGTAGAGTTATTTAGTTGATTTAAAATGGCTTGCATCTTTGGAGGATCTGAACCAAGGACAGCAGCGTCGTCCGCATACTCAATATCTGTGAGTGAACGTCGCCGGTGCAATTCGACCCCCGAGATAGGTAGAGAAATCTCAAGAAGCACATCGATCACAAAGTTGATGGAGAAAGGTTAGCCAGGCCGGTTTGTCCTACGTCACTGGATGTGGTAAACCCAGGTGTTACTGTATAGCAATTATTATCTGCTATTCTTAGCAACTAGAGGCAAGAAGATTCTATCTGATATCTGAATGCTCTTAGTAAAGTTCTCTGTTTCACCCATTTCCAATCCATTGAATGTGCTGCACCAGGCCATCTCATGTTTCAGTTGGTACGATATTCGAAGTATCGCGACAAATTGTACGGACGTACTACATTAAAGGTTGCTGAAAACTTTTCGGCAACCCAAATTTCGCGCTTCTTTGAGCTTAACAAGTAGGTTCAGGCCCCGAGTCTCCGTCAACCTTATATTCTGCTTGAACAGTACATTCACTTGATCGGGAGCGACATAGAAACGAGAGATTCAGCTGGATTCCAGGCAAGTCTCCCGTCAAAACTAAAATGGTATGCAGATGAGTGTCGAACTAACCACTATTATTTGCCATCTGGCTCTCTATTGCGACTATCTGCATCTAATCCTATTGGATCTGTGCTTGACTCTGTACCATATCTGTTTCATATCATATATAGTTAACACAGCACCAAAGGCAAGGCATAGGCCGGAGTGAAATGTGAATTTTCTTAGAAAATAACACCGCCATGTCACAGTGATCTAAGCGCGAAATCAATGAGTCTCAAAACTGCGCTGAATGTACTTCTTACTCCTAAAGTCCAAGTCCACCTTAGTTTGCATAATTAATTTGGACTGTTTTTTGACAACGCAGTTAATAACTATACTTTCCGACAACCTATTACTCCATCAGTGATTTATCTGTCGAAGGCATATCCGAAGAGGGTGCACTCACAAACATGTACCATCATTCAAAAATTTTCCTAAATAACGGAGTTCATGATGCGCTACAGAAGACCCCGGATTAGCTGAAAACTAGCAGTATCTAACAGCAAGAAATCTTTTTCCCTGTTGGGAATGAGATGTAAAAGTGGTGACAAGTCCCAAAAAAATTAATTGGTTTATTGAAGAAAATCTTGACAACAAAACGTGTTGTATGACGATGGACGAATTAACAACACAAGCATTACCAAGCGGTTATAAAAAGTACAAAAGTAGTTTAACATTACAGCTTATGAAGAACAGGCTGGCGCTTTCTAGACCCTGTTTCTGCGATCTGGTACTTTACATACGGTGATATACTTGAAAGCAAAGCTCTTACAAAAAGCTGTGATGGGATTGGCATATGCAAATTTCGGTACGCCTGGGTGCGCTCGACCCACCCAATTAGGCACAGACAATGCCCTCTCAATTGGTGACGAAACGTTTGCAATCCAGCCGCCAAGCTCGGTGAACAGACTAACAACCATACTGATAAGCTACCGAAGGGTAGACAAGGACAATCGAAAAGTCATGGTTGAACCGGAACTACTGGCCTTCTGGTCAGTAGCTTATCACCCTAACCACTGGTCTTCAACTATCACGACGAATTTTCATCGCTCTGTGACAGATCTTCATATATTCAAACCACGTAGTGCTCCTGCTGATTTTGTTATGAGGCTGTGCTACACAACCTGTCTCAGTCGCCCAAAAACTTCTCTGTGCTTCGATTTCTTCAGGAGTTTTCTGTCCTAGAACTCGCATATCTTACTGGTTTTCATGCGCGGCCGCATATGTGACCTCAACAATTGTCGTTCAATTTTCGTTTATTCATTTTTCCAGAGTTCTGTAGTTCAATTTTTTTCGAAGAACTTTTATGCGGGCTTGAAAACAATATCAATCTGAATGACTGTCAGTATGGGTTCAGGCACCACCGCTCTAATGGCGGCACGCCGAAGTATGTTTCAAATGTAGTCGTCCTCTTGCGATTCACTTTATGAAACACAGCTGGTTACCCCCGATTTTCTGAGAGCATCTAACACAGTGTCTAACACACAGACTCTCACAGGGCTTACCATTTACGCTCCGAGTTTGAACTTCATCCAGTGGGTTGCAGGTCTACTCAGCGGCTTCTGTGGTCAAGTGTCCTTCGACGGGATGGTTACTTCGACTCAAAGCCTGGTCACAGGAACCACTCAAAGGTATGTGCTCTTTCTCTTCCTTTTCCTGTCATCCGTTCCGACATTCAAGCTTTCGAAGATGGCACAAGCTGTTATTATTCTACTAATCTACGATGTGACGATCGTGGGCAAGCCATAGAGGTACTGAACGCCGAAGAAAACGAGGACCATAGATGGGACACGACTGCAAAACCAGTCGGCGCAACCAAATCACCACATGTATCAATTTCCCTTCGCTGTTTCCGCACATTTCCTGTTCCCTCTCGTCCACTCCTTTTGATCTCAGGTGTAGCAGCAACCATTCTTGGTCTGTTTATTTTAAACTCTTCGCAACTTGTGTCTCTAGGACAGTTGATTCTTCTATTGTGAGCTGGCAAATACTTAATCTCTGCGCAAATCCTTTTCTGTTACAAGTACCAAATTTCCAGCCATGCTCGGGAAGGGCCCTTTCTTATCAATTTTCCTACCCGATTTTATTCAGCGCATACACCTCATTGCCATATACTTCCTGTGACTCTCTCACAATCGAGTCCTGGCTTCACGTGCTTTGTATCTCCATTGCCAGAGAAAGTGTTTGTTGGAGCTAGCGTCTACTCCCCCCATGTCTCCGTTTTTCACCTACCAATTCGATTTCAACTACCCCTTTCAAGTTTCGATCCCTATCGCTGAGCGGAACCGTTCGCCCCTTCTCAATTCCCCAAAACAGCCTTCTGAGTTCCAATATCATCATATATACAAAAATAACGAGATAGATTTGGATATTAGGGACAAGCACACGACTAGTGTT